CCCCCCCACACACACACATCATGGAAGACCCGCGAGCCGAGGTGAGTGCCGTCGTCACGGCGCTGATCGAAGCGCCGAACGCCGCCGCGCAGCGTGACACGCTGCAGTCCTTCTTTACACCAGACGCATCGTTCGACCACCCGCTGTGTGCCGTGCGCGCATCGCCCAACTCGCGCGACAGCGGCCTCCTGCCCATTTACCAGTGGCTCAAGATCATGTTCGACTCGTCCATCGTCGTCAATAGCGTCGGCTTCGACGAGCACCGCGGCGATAGGCTCTACGTCGACGCGAGCCAGACGCTCAAGCCGAGGGTCTGGCCCCTGAGCAGCATCTACGCACCGGTCGCGAGGCGAGTGGTCTAGTCATTCAACCCTCTACCTCCTCATCACCCCCCGCGCGCCAAATGGGCCAAGCTGACATACCCCCCACCCCCATTTGTCTCGCGCAGACTCGTCGTGGTGCTGCACCTAACGCAAGCACCCGACGGCAAGTACTACATAAAGCGGCAGGAGGACCTATACCAATGGCAGGAGTTGCCCGGCAAAGTCAACCCGCTGCTACCCTGGGCCATCGACACGGTCAAACTCGTTGCTGGCTTCAACTGCGCCATGCTTGCCAAGGTCTTCCAGCTGCTCGGCATCTGGGCCGTCCGAGAGGGAGGTGCACAGGCCAAGGCGCCCAAATGCAGGTGATCACGTCCTTATGTTCATCAACTAATGCGATCTCCATATTCCTCCTCACCGCTACGGTGCCATCTGCGCCACGGCCTCATGCGAATATTACGTCTCAGCCAAATTGTATAGCTTCGTTGCGGCAATATATTTCTGTAAGTTTCTCCATTCTCACAAGCTCAGACCTCGGACGATGTGTTCAACTGCAGAAGGAAAGCGTCGGTCCGACGGGGACAAATGAAGGGCGGCGATGGAGAACGCGAGAGTAGGGACCATTGTTGCCATGTCAGATGGTACGGAAAAATTGCCGCGGACTTGCATAGCATCCACCGCTGTCACTCCAGCGTCCACGACCGGCGCTTCTTTTTAGCAGTCTGCCCCCATCTGGGCTTGTGAGAATCTGCCCCTTTACTCGAGCGACTCCGTTGGCGATAACTACGTTCGCCCAAGGCCCAGCACCTGCCATGGGTGGTCCAAGTCGGGCGATCGCGGAAACGATAGGATTACGTCGATCTCATGGCCGGAGGGAAGCTGCACTGCCGCCATGGAAGCGCGCACATGCGTCTGCGCTGCGCCGAGGTATCCGCGGCATGCTCGCTACTGCGTTGCACCCGCCGGAGCCCGCGCACGCAGCATGCTCCTCTGCTCTCTTTCGTGCAATTCGCGCCGCTGCGGTGCAGTCGGCCAAAACGTGCATAGAATGCGGCACGACCGCCGCCGCCCTTGCGCTTGCATCCACGGATGGCGACGGCGGTGGAGGCGTGTCATACTCGCGCGCAGCTTTCCAGATCTCCACTTCGTCCATAACACGTGAGATGCCCAGCGTAAGCACGCGCCGACCCAAGGGCATGAGCGGCGGGAAGGATATTCCCTCAATGTACATTGCGTCCGACGAGACGTCCGGCCTATCGCGTTGGCGCGTTCGGTGTGCGGCCCTGGATAGTAGTTCTGAGCGTCTTGCCCCGCTTTGTCTTCGAGGTCCATTTGCTTCTTATTTGAGGTTTCTTAAGGCAGTGGAGGTATGGCCGGAGGGTACTCGCGGTGGGGTGCAGGAAAGGCGGGTGATTAGGTAGGTGTTCACGATCGACTCTGTGATATCTATTTTTCAGATGCCCGTATCTGACCAAATAGAAGTAGATATGTGAATCTGGAACTTGAACCGTGAGATAGTAGAGGATCCAGATGGGACCAGGACGCGGTGATAGGCAGTCGAATCACCGTGTAGCAAAGTCCATCACGGACGGCCACCGTCCGCTCCGGTTCGCCTCCGCTTCCTTCTTGCCGCTCGCCATTCTTTTCGGCTCTATGCTGTACATTTTAGAGGCCATGTTCGCTGTTGCGCCAGTCGTGGGAGCATGGGCTGTCCTCTTCAACAGAGTTGAGGGGTTGGGGAGATCACGCCGTCTGAAATCAATACCTCTGTCACAGTCCGCTCTCTCGTGCACGGGGCCGGGGCGGAAGCGAGCAACGCAGTGCCGCTGATACACAGTTACAGCGCCAACTCGACCGAGCTAGCTCTTGCATCACGATTCCACCATTATCAAACACTGCTCCCTCCCCAGCGCCACCGGATCCTCTGCAACAGAGGGAGCGAGACAGACGAAGAGATGAACACTTAACAGACTGTAGTCCATCATCTTTCGCCTGCATGGAGGAGCTGTCGATGTAGCGACGCTTGTTGTGCGAGCTTGAATCGCGCCCTGACTCGGCTCGCCCCGAGCAGCCCTGCCAGTATGAGCTTGGAAGTTGACGAGGCCACCATTCTCAAGGCCTACGGGCTCAAGACCATCGAGCCCGACCGGTGGCACAACACGAACGAAGGCAAAGACGGAGACAGCAACGATGTAGTCGCAACGTTTGACGGAGAGCTGGATCCGCTTAACTTGCGTCCTCGCATGCCGAATAGCAATGATTTTGAGCCGGAATTGCGACCGCAGCTGTCTCTCTCGTCAAAGGCATTCGACGCGAAGGTATTCCTCAGCCAGGTCCATCCCGATGCAACATTTGCCGATCTCAGCAGAGGTGTTATCCATCTAAAGGAGAGTATCGAGCAGCGGTCCGAAGCACTCAAGGTGCTCGTGCAGGACAACTTTGATCGCTTCGTCGCGGTCAAAGCCACGAACGACGGTGTCTTTCGTGAAATGAAAGAGCTGGACCATGGGCCGCTGAAGGAGGGCCAGGAATATGGCACCAAAGAATTGCGAGAGGTCTTGGGTCAAGCGAGCGCCAAGGCAGATCAAGTCTTCATGCCTGTGCTCGAGAACAATCTCAAGGCTGGCAAGCTGAGAAGCACGCTGGGTGTCTTTGAGCGCTCCAAGTTCTTTTTTAACTTGCCCGCCTCGCTTAGGGAGAGCGTCGAAAGTGGCAGGTACGATGTCGCGCTCCGGGACTACCGCAAGGGCAAGTACCTCATGAGCAGCCGGCCAGGGCAGCTGCTGGCATTGCCGTCCACCGCCGACGCGCTCGGCTTGACGTCCGAGCAAGATGCCGCTGGTGGGAATCACATTGACGAGCAGGGAAATGTGCAGAACTCGAAATTGCAGGCACAGCAGAAGCGTGTCTTCGACAAGGTTTGGGGCGCGGCACAGCGTGTCATGACGGAAATGGAGCAGAGGCTCTTTGCGATGCTCAGAGACCCAAAGCGAAGCGTAGATGAACAGCTCAAGACCATCGAGTGAGTGCAGTGTCCGCGGAAGGAAATGATAGGAAATGCTGACTTGCAGAACACCGTGAATCCAACAGGGTTGTACTGGAGATGTCGCCGTCTCAGGACCCGGTCTCTGTCTACCTCGAATCGGAGCGGACGCACGTGCGAGCTTTGATGACCAAGACTTACGACATTTGCGTCTCGCGAGTGGATGGTGAGCATTGAGCCTCCGGTCATCCCATGTGGCTGTGTCTTATCCTGATGCCTCCTTTATCGTAGCCTCGCGAGCGGTAGCAAGCGCGTCAACCTCGGTGACAGACGAAGCAAAGGAGCGAGTGCAAGACCTGCAAACTTGTCTCCGTGAAGTTCGCCGGTCAGATCCCAACTTTGAGGCCATGGCGGGCGGAGCTGCGTGGAAGAACATCAGCATCTTCGTGCGCCGCATGTGTGAAGTCATGCTCCAGAACTTGCCCACCTACTGGCGGGTTGTCAAGCATTACCTTGATGGCAGATTTGTCAAAAAGGTGAGCATCAAAGTCATTTATTTCTGACACACTTTTGCTGAAGCTCGGCTGGTTTCTCTCGCCAGGGCAATGCTTCAACGGGTGTAAATGACCGCATTGCGTCGCAATGCAAATCCTGGGCGCTCGAGAGCATCAATGAATTCTGCTCCCTTCTATCGCATTTTTTCACCCTGACCGACATCAGCATTCTCGTGCGGAGACCGCTCTCCCCGCTCCCGGACTGGGTCCCGATACCTTGCAGCTGCAGTACAGCTGCGACATTCATGCGAACCACACTGGAAGATTTGGGCGACACCATCGCCGAGATGGAGGCACTCAACATTCCTGGGTCTAGCAACCCTTTGCAAAGTCTACTCGTCAATGCGCGCTTTCGCTTCACCGAGGTGCTCTGTCGTCTCTGGCAGGAGGATGCGCAGCAGTTGAGCAGCTTGGAAGAATGGACGCTGGATCCGGTCGAGCCGTCTACGACACTGTTCATCAATGACATCGCCGCATTCCACAAGAGCAACGCGCGACTAGCATACCTTGTCGCGGGTGGTCGAGATTCACTCCCTGGCACAACGCGACCCAAAGAATCGCTTGTCAAATCTGAGTTTGTCTCACGAATCAAGGCCTCATTTGTTGACGCCTTTCGCATATCATTAGAGGGCATGGTCACCTTAGCATTTTCAGACTACAATCCCGTCGACGCTGAGACCACAACGAGCAGGAAGGTGGTAGGCGGCTCCAATATCACCATCGACGTTCGAGAACCAGTGAGTCTTCTACACTCTCTGTCTGATAAGCGGGGCGAGAACGGATCTGACCAGTCTTCGCCGGGCTTCTCCAGGACACGCGTATACTCTTGAGCATCACGAACGTGTCGCAAATTCAACAGACACTCATACCGAGCCTGCTCAAGCAGTTCAGTGAGGCGTTTCAGACATCAGTCACGACCGAGCAAAAACAGCTCAAGGAGCTGGCACAACGAGTCGATCGAACATTGTTCGAAGATTTCGTAAAGCGGAAAGGAACATCCATCTGCAAGATTCTCAAAGACGGCATCCTGCACAGCGGCATCGACTGGCGCACACTACCCAAGCCGACTGAGGTGAACCCTTTTATCTACGATGCGCTCTTGGCGATGGTGCAGGTGCATGCGCAGATCCGAGCGGTTGCGAAGCAGCTTGTGGATCGCGCCATCACCAATTTGCTAGACCAGCTCGCGCGCGAAACGCTCAAGGCTTTCCAGCAGGTCCAGGTTTTTGGGATGGGCGGCATGCTGCAGGCGACGCTCGAGATCGAGTTCATCCACCAGACCCTCTCGCCCTTCGTCTCACCTAGCGCGGAACAGACACTGAAGCAGCTGTACGAGACGATTAGTGAGCGATATCAGCGCAAGTCTCCGGACGAGACGGAGCTGCTAAAGCAAGAGCTGGAAACTGTGAAGAAGACGCTAGTCGCAAGTCGCAAGGCTACAGCACTGCAATTCCTGTGCTTCAGAAGGACTCGCAGCAGCAAGGAGAAGGAGGAGAGTAGCTCATCGCGAAGTAAGGAAAGAAGGGAATAGCATCATCGTGTTGAGCTGCAGTGTACATGCGCAATGTCATTCAACGAATCCGACGACCTCCTCCTCCGGTTCGTTCGCTGCTTCTGCCAGACGCCTCGCGAGCACATCTCCACGATGAGCATGATCTCGTCCTTGCGAACGCTCACGGCTGAGCCCATGACTAGAGGAACGCTGCTTATCTTTGTCTTTGCCCGTTGTGACGGACTGGCTACGCTGCCGCTTCTGCCGGCCGTCTGGACGCTTGCGCACACGTTGCATGGTGACAATTTCTTCCCCGTCTGCACCCGTCTCGATCTGAACATGCGAAAGAGAGGTCAGAAAGAGCTGCAGAACGGAAAGCTCGCACAGCGGACTCACGACCTCCTCTTCTTCCCACTCTGTCTCTGACTGTGGCTCAGCACTTCGCTTGGAGCGTTCTCGTCTGTGTGTGCTGCCGTCTGCGTCTTCGCCATCTGAAAGGCCCTCGAGTGCAGGTGGAGGTTTGACAACAATGATGGGTGTCGGTCCGCTCAAGTCCATACCAATCTGTTCTCCATATTCGACGGCAGTGATGTTCCTCTTGATTGCAAAAGCTTCACGCAACTGCAGTGGTTGGTTCTTCTCCTCCCGCTGCCACTTTGTTTTGATCTGCCGACGATCGCGTCCTGGGAATAGCCGAGCGATCATCTCAAAGTCCGTGCCCCACATCGAGACAGCCTGATGCAGAGAAGGGGTCAGCGGCGAATCGCACAAGAGGGACGCGTTAGTGGTTCGACGTACTTCTAGGAATCTCATCGTCTCTTCAGCAGTCCACCGATTGACATGTTTCCTCTTGGAGTAGCTGGCGCTGTTGCTGAAGTCCTGGTCTTCCCGCTCTTCGACAACCTCTGCATCATCGTATTCGTCCGCATCCACAGCTCTGTTGATCTGAAGACTCGCTTCGTCGACGACAATCTTCCCATCGACAATCCGTGTACGAACGGCGTGCTGACTACGGCGGAAGGTGTGGCTCGCTTCGGATGGTGCAGTGGAGCCTGCCATTGATGGCCGATCATCTTCGTCCTCCTCTTCGTCATAGTCGTTGCTGCGTGCGGAGCGCGCCCGTGATGCAGATTCGTCGTCAATGTCACCCACAATCTCTTCCTCTTCCTCTTCATTGTAGCGCCTATTTCCAGCGCCATTGCCCGTGTTGGTTTGCTGAGCTTGTCCCTCATCTGTCTCAGGAAGAGGGAACTTGCCCTTCGTCTTAACGTTCCTGTACACGCGAGCCAGCTGGAAGGTCCTGGGTCTTGGCCGACCCATTTTGTAGTTGATTGGAGTTAGGCTGTCAATGCTGATTTTGAATGGATCTGGACGAGAAGCATCTTCCCCATGCACCTTGACATACTCCTCCCATTCTCTCTCCTCGTCGGAAATATTTTCGATCGCGTCGGCCAGCTCGGATTTTTTCTGCTGCAGTATTCGATCTTGTTTCGCTGCTTTCATCTTGTCCCTGCTTTCGTCGTCGCTGTTCTCGGCCTGCTCTTCGGGATACTCTTTGATCCACTTCTGGCGATCTGCAAGGTATTGACTCTTGAGAGCAGCTGCCTCCTCCTCAAATTCCTCCCGATCGGGGGAAGACAGCGTCTTCCACTCATAGGCAATATTGGCGGTCAAATCCACCGAGTTCAAGGTCGGGTTAGCGACTTGTCGATCTGCTCGAACAGAGGCGAAGAGGGAGTATGCAGACGGCGGACGCTTGGGCTCGTGCGGCTTTCTTGATCTCCGCCCTTTCCTCGTTTTTGTCCCCTCTGGCTCTTCAAAGACATCTTTCTTCTTTGATGGCGCAGCTCTCCTTTTGCCATTTGGATGGCTTTTTGCAGTAGATTCAGCCGCATTCAGGCCCGAACTGTCGTCAGAGCCGCTCTCCTCAGCTGGTTGCTCTGCCATAGCACTGTGGTATGCCTGTCTGGCCTCCCCCGCTTTCTGGTGCCACGGAGCCCGCTCTTGGGCGGTCATCTTCCGCCAATTGGCTCCAATAGTCTTTGCCAAGTCAGCGAATGACCTGTCTGGATCCTCCTCGCGCAGCCGTCTGCGCGCGGATTGTGAGTAGAGCATGTACGGAGAAAGCGGTTTCTTGATCTGATTTCGCCGACTCTTCGAGCTTGCATAAAATTTGTGCTCGCTGTTCGACTCGGATTCGGTGCTTTCGGACTCCTGATGATCCTGATGGTGATCAGTATGGCCCTTTTCGCCAAGATTTCCACTGAGGGCGAGCATCGTCAACCCCTGTGAAGCCGCCAATCTCTCATCTACATCCTTTTCCTTTTCCCCTTCCTCTTCCTCTTCCTCTTCCTCCTCGCTTGCTGGGGCCTCGCGGGGGGCCAAAGCCTTCGACGCCGCATTTGTGTGAGAACGTAGAGATGCAGCAACATGCAAAGTCGCGTTCTTTCGTTGGAGGGCTGATCCCGCTTCCCGAACTGATGGACCGGCCTCCTCTGATAACGCGTCAGGTGCACGCTCCGAGGCGGGAATATGTGATGCGTTCTCTCCGCGTTCGTCTGTATGAACGGCTCGATTGCGGGAAACATGTATTGCTGAGGGGGGCGTTTGGCCGGACCTGGACGCCCCCGGTGCTACCCTTGAAGCGGCTGTAGGAGCCTTTGATGTTTCTGGAGTGGCACTGGGAGCTTGGTTCTGCGTCGCTTGCTGCCGTGCCTGGGATGGCCCCGCAGCTTCAGAATAGGCTGACAAAACGCCTGCATCCGGTGCTGGCGTCCTGCTCAAGGCTCTGGATACTGACCGGGCTTTGTGTATCCCCTCCGTGCCTGGAGGCCGGAGATTTCCCATCGGGACAGCTCCCGCTGTGGCCCTGTCGCCCCTGCCAGGTCCATTTGTACGTCGGGCGGCGGCGGCGGCAGCAGCAGTGGCACCAGCAGCAGCAGATGTAGCCGGGATGACCAGACCAGGGCCGCTGCGCAGCTTTATCAAAGGGGCTTCAGGCGCGCTGACGGATGGCGGACGGAGAGAAGTGCTTCCACAGTTGGGCTCGGTTCCAGAGGGCTTGGGGTGCGAAGAAGCCGCTGACGGACCGCTAGAGGTCGGCACCAATGAGCTGGCGACTCGCGGCGGCGCGCGAAGCGGCCCAGCAGGTAAGTCGAGCTCCGAATCATCTTCGCGAAAGTTTCCTGATGGTGGCAGCAAGCTGACCGGGTCCTTCGATGGACCCGGCCTGCTTGAAGGTACTGAAACTGACACTGATGCTGGCGACTCAGCTGAGGAGCTGGGTGTGGATGGTTGCGACCGTTTTGGCGCCACACCACGCGTGATGATTGGCTTGAAGCGCGAGCCTGCCTTTTCGAGACGTGAAGACATGGTGCCGAGACGCTTCCCGACAGCTGCTGCTGCACTCAAAGATGCCGCCGCTTGAAGGGTCCCGGTTTGCGAGGAAATGTTGAGGATGCTTGCTGTCCGAGCGAGCTGCTTGATGGCCTTGGATATATACAGAACGTGGCACCAATACGTGTAGCGTGACTGTGTGTTATCAATTTCGCTCACACTTTCAATCACTTTTATGGCTGACATCGGCGTCTTTCCCAATTGACCTCGGCGTCTTTTCCCTTTGTTCCGCCCGCTTTCACACCATCCACGTCTTACGATCGCAAATGCTCCCCGCACTAGACTTGGACCCATTGGCGCGTGGGGATGATGAAGGCACGGCCCTTGAATGATGAATGAGGCTCAAAGTAAGCTACAATGCTGGAGACGCATCTTCGCCTGTTGTGTCGCTTCGCTAGATTCGAGGTAGGGACGTGCGACGCAAGTTAGAAGGCTCTCATGGCGCAAGATCAGCGGCTTGCGCTGCTCTGGCGGTGTAGAGGTCACCATCGTTACCATTACCAAGACCCAACCAGCTGGGCCCAGAGCCCTGCTCGCCCTTGCCTCCTCCGAGGTGTGGCAGGTCTTCGCTCATGGGCGTGAACTTGAGACCTCCAAACGCGCCCTGTCCTCGTCTGCTGCTCGCATCGCGAGACGAGCGCCGCGAATGCGTAGGGCTTTCGCCTGCATCTGACTCTGCGTCCGTATCTGAGAAGCCAAGCGGACCCTCGACACCGATACCAGATACCATTCCAAAGCTGTCTCGGCTGTCGTCAATCTCTTCTTCATATTCTTCCTCCCCGTCGGACCCCATGCCGTTGGATAACCCTTTTGGCAGTAGGGATGTGTCTAGCTGTGAGATCATGCCAGAGTCAACACCGCTGGAGGCACCCGAAGCTGCCGCATGCTCCTTTTCTGTACCTTCGATGCCAGGGGTGTTTGATGCTGCTGCTTGAACGCGCGCAAAGCTGCCGCCCGTTCGAGCCCAAAGCTCATCTGCTTCCAGCCTGGCATCGCTGGCCGTGCGTGCCCGATGGCGGAGAAGCGTCTCTGCATCGTACGTCCCTGGGCTCAGTAGTGGAGCCGGGCTGCTGGCAAAAGCCGTGTTGTTGACACCCAAGCGAAGTCGTTGAGAACTCGAGCGGCTGAGTGACCTTCCGACTTTGACTCTTACTCTCCGCTTTCTCAAGCCTAGTGAGGGGTGCAGTGGTTGGGACCCACTCGGTAAGCCGAATGAGTGGAACGGGGGTAGGTTGGCATATGGACTCACCGAGCGTTCGGAAGACCGCGTAGCCGGCAAAGTCCAAGAGCCCGATGGTGAGTAGTGGCAGCGCAACGGCCAGGGACAGCAATCTGGAAATCGGAGGGATGAGAGCCAACCCCGGTGGTAGCGGTGGATTGAGGATGGTCTTCCAATCAAGTGACCTGACAGCGTCGGCAAAGATCTGCCTAGCGTTGCCTTCATAGCAGACGTTTCCTCCCAGCCCCACGCTGTCGAACCACGCCTGAACAGAGAGGATCAAGGTCTGCAGGATGTCGACTATAGTATGTTGCGCCATGGCGACTGCCGCCGATGGTGCCGTGAGCCTTGAAATGCCTTGGCAGTTTCTATTGATGAGCCTTTTGGGCAGCGGGGAGATCGTGACTGGGCCCACAGCTTCGATTAACGTAGCTGGCACCCGTCCGCAGAGAGCAGGAAGATCGAGTCGCCACGAAGCAACGACGTTGATTTGCAGAATGTACTGCGTCCCGCGCCGGATCAAGGTACTGACCCTTGTCCAAGATTGGCACGATGATAATTTGGCATGCCAAGCGAGTCGTGCAGTGAATCCAAACCTGGAGGTCTGGTGGGCCGAGAGTCGGCGTGGCGCTGCTGCGGAGTCTGGAGGATGCGCGTTTGTGTTGGCGTGTGCGCATGTGCATGCGCGATTACAGTACAGCGAGAGCGGGAGAGGAGTCAGCTCGAGATGGATAAAAAGTCCACTCGACAGGCAACGCCGTCATCATCGCAGGCATTGCGTATCCTTCAAAGTACATCTCAATCATCGCTTTTACTCACCTGCAGTCTGCTTGCTGCACCGGCACAAACTGTGCACATCGACCTCCTACCTTTCTACTTCTCACGTTCAATCTGCACTCCTTACGCCGTCTCCTTTATCGCCCCCTTCGTCCAACATCAATCGCTCTCAACTCTCCGACCACTTTCTCTCATCGTCTACATTCTTGCACGAAACAGCTCTAGAACGTCTCCCATACTCCGACCCTACTAGCCAGTCACGATCAAGTTGAGCTGCAACCATCATCACATCCATAATGGCGTCATCATCTCTTCCCATTCTTTCACCCCTTGTGACGCGAATCCTCGAAGTGTCTGGCTTCTCCTCGGACCTCAAGACCCGTGACATATCCTCCATATTTGCAACTTGGGAAGATGATAGAGGCGGGTTCAAGATCAAATGGGTGGATGATACTACTGTGCTCATCATCTTTGCCGATCCTGCAACTAGTGAGGATGCTCGCTTGGATATTTGCGCATTCTGCAAGTACCTTATTTTAATCTTTGGTAACTGCTTGATTTTGTACAGCCAAGAAGGCGTATCTGAATACCCTCTTGAATTTTCCTCCGGCATTGATTGACGCTTCTGGTAAGAGGGCATCGATAAAGCCGTACGATGGCGACGATGCATCAACAGTCATTGCTTCGGTCCACCGTCGCACACGTTCACGATCAAATGCGGCAAATCTTGCCGGGTTTCCTAACTCTCCGAGCCAGGGTACAAGTAGCCTTCCGGGTGGGGTAGCTTCCTCACCACAGACGCGACATCGCCACACAGGCAGCAATGTCTCGATCAGCACCCTTTCCACTGCTGGTAGCCTTTCTCGAGCAATGGGATCGTCGTTTAAGCAAGGCCATTTGCGACATCCGTCTGGGTCAAATCCATCCTCCTTGCCACCTAAACCCATCGCAGCAGCGCTCTATGACGCAGCGAATGGTGGTCCGAGCCCGGCTCACCACCTTTCAAATACGGCACGCGAGCAGGGAGTACCGCTGCCTCTAGCTGCCGGCGCGGCTAGTACATCTGGTCGCAGTACATTGTCGAAGGATGCGGTCGGCGAGATCGATATCATGAGCGGCACGGAAGATGCGTCGGGAAGCAATGGGAGGGGCACACAGGCCTCTCAAGCTGGACGCGTGGGCGACGCCGGCAAGCGGCTAGTCGCTGGAGCGTTGGGCGTCCGGCATCCTGGGTTGGAGTCAAGAGCGGATGGCAAATGGTCTCCCAGCGCGAGTGACGCTGGGTCTGCACCTGCTTGTGGCGACACTTCGGCAGCCGCGTCTCTACCACAGGGCATGGATGATCTTACCATTCGCTGATTATGCAGTGCTCCAATATCCAACCCGCTGCGCATCGCATTCTACTAGCAGCGCTTCTGACTCAACGACTGAGTGCATATCAGCATTTAGGAACATCTCCTCTAGCAGTGGCCAGCCCAACGCGCTTAGGTGTCGCCACCTTCGAATGGGGTCCTGTAATCAGCACTGCGCTGTGTATATTAGCTGTCTACACCAGTCCTGCATGCAGCATGCAAATCAGTGTACAGCGAAGCGTAACCACGGACCACTCCTGCGTACTTCTGACGGGGCGAAGCCCACATACCGTAGGGCTCACAGATCACACGTTTCATCGCGTTTGGTGCATGGCCCACGTTCCTCGCGCAGCAAACCCTTCCGTCGGTGTACATTTGATATCACAACCCTACGAAGACTGGTGATCGCCTGGGCGTGCCGAGCGGTTAGCCAACTTGACCCTCTCTATCACCCGGCCCGAGAGGGAACCCTGAGGCAGTTGGCACCGAGGCAAGATGTTTCCTTTTTCTTTCTTTTTCGCAAGCTCTCTCCACTCACGCAAAAAGAAATAACTTCATGGTGCTGACTGCGGAAAGAGGAAGATTTTTTTTTGCTTCGGTCTGGGGCTGCCAATTGATCAACCCCCTTCTCCGCAGCTGCCCGCTGCCCGCAGCTCAGGATCCTCCAATCTTCTGACTTCTCGTCCATTGCACCCGAGTCACTCGCCGTGCTCATCACTGCAACCATCACACGCTCTCGCCTTCCCGTTCTCGCTGCTGGAGAAGCGCCTTAGAGAGAGCAGCCCCTAGTTGCAAGTGCGCACAAGTTAGTCCAGCCAGCGTAGCATTGATCGTCTCGCCCCAGCTGGGAACTCTCCGCCTTCTCCGCCGGCACTCCACCCTATTTTTTCTTTTCTTCCTGGATTGGTTTATCAGACTGCCAACCATCGGAAAGAGGCATTACGATCAGCACAGCGTGCACAGGTTATTCAGTGTTTCTGAGCGTAGCGTACCATTGCTGGTACGTGCTTCCACCACGCAGGGACGCTGGTTCTGCGTAGAACACTCCTTTGAGCTCTCATTCGCTGGAAGAGCTCGAACGAGCGTCGCATCGCAGTCAACATGGCGCCAACGTCCGAGCAGGCTTTTGCAGCCTGCGTGGACGGCAATCTTGGTGCGCTGCAGGATGCTTTAAATGGGGACAATGCAGTTCGTGTCAACGAGCAGAGTGAGTAAAGATGTCGGAACTGTCACACGACACAGACTTCACATATGCTGAACACTCGGCGTCTTCGACTTATCCTGCATACTTTTGACCTGCCTGACGGTTGCGATGGAACAGATGCTGAAGGGATGAGCTTGATCAAGGCGGCTGTGCTGCACGAGCAAGTGCCATTGGTCCAGGAGCTACTTGCTAGAGGTGAGATGCTGGCATCGCCTTTTAAAGCGTCGCCTCTTTGTGTGTCACCTTTTCTAATACTTCGTCTTCCCCTGCTATAGGCGCCGACTACTCTGAGGTCATTGAGCTCGAACAGGCGCAGCAACACCCGCAGATCTCAGCTATGCTCCTCTCCCATCACCAGCATGTGACCAGGGCACCGGAAGGCGAACAATCTGCTTTTGACCCACATGGAGGCCAACCCATGGCTGATGGCTCAGTCAACTACATGCATGCATCGTCGTATTCGCAACAGGGCGGACCGATATACCCGGGGATGCAGCCACATTTCATGTCCGACGGTTCTGGCCCCTACTTTTTCCCACCTGGCAACACGGCTGGGCCGCAAGGCCAGCCCTACTCCGGCATGCCGAACGGCGCGGGTCCTTTCCCCTTCGCGCAACAAGCGCCGCCGCTAGAGCAACACGCGAACGACCCCACATCCGCAATGCACAATCTGCCTCCGCCCGACGTCGCCAAGAATATTCCTTGCAAATTTTTTCCGAATTGCCGATACGGAGATCAGTGCGTCTTCCAGCACCCTGCAGGCGGCGTCTCTCCCGTTGCTCCTTCCAATGGCCCCACTGCTTCTGGCCAGGCACCTACTCAGCACTTGTCCAGCCCATCTTTGAATGGCTCTGCCCCAGCTTCTATGTCTCCCAATGGCGCACCCTCTTCCATGCATTCTCCGACACCCGGCGTGAGCTCACCAGTTCCGAACGGAGCCCCGATGTTCTTCCAGCCTCCACCAGGGTATGGCTACGCTCCTCCTTTCGGAGGGCCTGCTCAGCCATTCTATGTTGGGCCGCCCATGCACATGCAGTACCCGCATGGCTGGCCGATGCCCATGCAATTTATTCCTCCGCACCTTCAAGTGCCTCCTCAGCAAGAACAGCCACAGCAGCAGAGTTCGCAGCAGCCACAACCTGAGCGCTCGTCGTTCGATGCACAGCAGACTGGCGCTGTTGCAACGCAGGAGCAGAGTCAGAGTTCCACACCTGAAGCGGCGGCAGAGCAAGAGCAAGGGCAGGTTTCAGGCGAGCAGGAGCATTCGTTAGCCACCCAAGCGCCAGACTCGTCGGGGACGGCAGCCCCATCTCCCAGCAAAGCAGATGAGCAGGGAGAGGGCGCGACGCAGGCCTTTGGCTCTTACCTGCAATCAACCGCTGTACCCTTCGAGCCTTCTTCAGCGTCTACTATGGCAATGATGAACATGGTCCAGCAACCTTTCATGGGTCAAAATGGGGGAGGCTTCTACACACGCGGGAAACCGAGTCGGCGAGGCGGTTCAGCAGGTACTGGTGCCTTCTCGGGTAAGCGCAGCAACGTCGAGCGGCCGCCGTGCGTCTTTTTCATCCGGTCCAAGTGCAGGTATGGCGAGGAGTGCTTGTTCCCACACGTGCTGCCAGATGGCACAGATGCACGAGGTCCAAATGCACCGCACAGGAACAGGTCTGCAGAGGACGCGACCAATGCCAAGACGGCGGCCAAGGCCGCCGCGAAGGCGAAGGCGGCGAGCAACGTGGCTTTGAGCACATCTGACACGGCGCCTTTGACAAGCGCAGCTGCCAAGAACACCTGCCTTCCGACCAACGAAAACAAGGCCGAACTTCCGACAACGCTAGCAGCTGCGGAAGCAGCTGCAGTTTCGGAGAAAAAGGCTTCTAGCGGCGCTCCCGCTGTGGTGTCCTCAAGCTCGGCAGCGCAAGCACCAACTGCTTCGCAGCGTGGCTTCAACCACGGAACTTTCCCGCGTGGTGCAGGCCCCGCGCGGTCTGCAGGGCGCGGTGGGGCTACGGCCCATGGCGGTGCCAGTCATGCAGCCAAGAAGGCCGCTCATCAGCAACGCGTGCCAAACGGTGATGACTTCCCGGCTCTTCCTTTCTCGCCGGTCGTTTCCGCTCCCGACACACCGCCCCTGGGCTCCACGACGACCGTCGCTCATGTCAACGGTGACGCGTCTGAAGCCTCCCCACCAGCTGCTGCTGCGCCTGCTTCGGCGGCACCGAAGTTCAACTTCTCGGCCATTTTATCCGCACCTGCGCCGGTAAAGTCTGTCAAGGTTCCCGAGACTTCCGAGAAGGCTGAGAAAGATGCAAGCAACACCAATAACGAGGTAGCCGCAGACGACAAGGCTGAGAAGGAGCAGGGCCAGACCGCTGCTCCACGATCGGCCGCCGAGGTGCTGGCCAGTGCCACTGCTAATGCCGCTCCGGCAGCAGCTGCAAATTCGATGAGCTCCCAGCCTGCAGCCAAAAGCACACCTCATGTGAACGGCTCTGCTGAGACCAAGCCTACCGAGAAGGCCAAGCCGCAACCAAATGCCCATGGTAAGAAGCCCTCGACGTTGAATGGTCACGCCGCTCGAACATCACAAGCGCGTGCTCCCAACGGAGTCGCACACAACGGGCATCACAAGCAACAGCAGCACTCCAAGGCAATGGGAGCACCCCCTGCCCTAGATGATGACTTCACGCCCGTGAAGGGCAAACACGCAGCTAAGCGCAGCAGCGTCCTCCCCACGAAAGGCATAAATGTTGCCAACGCCGTACCACCTTCACAGGAGGACTCCATGGCCTCTTCTGCAGCGCAACCAGACCTCGCGACGAACACCGCCAAAGCAGTCATGGTTTGAGCTCTGTCCCATTATCCGCCCTGCCCCTCTTTGTGCATTTCCGTTCCAACACTCAGCCCAGGCTGTTCGATCCGATTCACTTTTAAGACGTTCTCTATCCGTCGGCAGCTTGCAAGAGTTTCCCTTTCTATCACTCATTTCGAAAAACACTCAGCAAATCAGCATGGATCTCCCTCGGGCCCCCTGCCGATCTTTTAGCGATCGGCCGGCATCAGCGACATTGGTCGTGTACATATAGCACCAAAACAGACTTACTCTAATCGGACATCTTGAGATGCGCGGGCCCTCCGGCCATCGGATCGGCTCGCCGGGCAACTGCTCGACACTGCAAGAGAGCGGGCACCGCGCACCTAGCTGTTCTGTTCATCACCATCGTAGAACGTTGGCCGGTCATCAGGCAGACGCAAAACTCTCTTCAAAAGCTTGACCTCTCTTCGGCCAGGGGCAGCACACAATCTTCCCACCTCTCTTCTCCCATTGATTAAGGACCACCACCATCTTCTTCATCACTCATCATGCGCATGACGGCCACCCCAGACGCGTGATCGTGCCTCTCGCGACCCACCCGTCCTAATGCTGCTTGCACTGGGACGCGCTCACATGCATCAAGGCTGCATTTTGCTCGTTGTCGCAGGTGTTCGCACAGCTTTTTTCCATCTCTTTCACTCGGTGGTCATTGCTTCCACTTGGTCACTGCTTTGGCTTCCCTCTGTGCGCATGATGTAACATTCAATATGCACTATACACATGACAAGTTGCATAATCTGTTCTGCACAGCACAGGCCCATGGGTATACATGAGCAAGTCCATGTGACACCTGACTTCGACTTGAAAAATATTGCCGTCTGTTGTTGGTGCTGCAATCAGTTCGCGAGACAGCTATACCAATATTCCGAAGGAGATAAAGGGTATTCCGGAATTGCCGTCTCGACGTGTCAGTACTTAACGTATGGCATATCACACGGCCGACCGTCAGGTAGGCGCAAGAGTGTTGTGGACGGGCTCCTTATGCTACGACGAGGCTGCATACATTAGGATTGAGCAGTTGTTTAACTTGTGACCCCCTGGGCGTCTTGACGCACAAACTCGTGATGGCTGACCAGATCGACAAGTCGGGCGGCGTCCATCAGGGCAGGGCACAAGTTTTGGGTCGGTTTTGCGCCATTCATTTCAAAGACAAACATTGGCTTTTCATCTATGTAGGTCAGGAGGATGTCGCCTTGGTTAAACTCTGTGCCCTAAGGATCGAGCCCCAAATAAATATCGTCGAGTCCCGAGAACAAAAGGAGTTCACAGAACGCTCTCCGTGGACCATCTCTGGGCGGCTTCAGTGTAATCCGCAAGCTACGACCGCGCGAGTCAAGAACAGAACTGGGGTCAAAAAGGAGTCACGTGTAAATATTTTGCGTCGGGCGCTGCGAAGGGAATAACTGCATCTCCGCTCTGCGACCACCTCAATGGTCGTATTTATGAAGTCATCGGTTGAGTTGCAAAACCCTGCATGCTCGTGGAAAGGATGCTTCACTATGTCGGACGTTTGTGTTGAAGACATGCATGCGTAGGTTTCCAAGGACGTGATCGGTCACCTTTGTGATACCTATTCTGAAACGCTAGAACCAAAGGTTACCGCAGTGAAGCTCAATCCAACGGCGAACAAAGCTCCATATACGAAGGATCCGCCGCATACGAGCGCGTCGTGCGTTCGCCCACTTACTCATGACTAGTCACTGCCGAATATAAGCCCTTGATGGATCAATCAAAGAAAGTTTCAAGGAAGCGCATGCGCCGAGCAAGACGCAATTTTTTGACCCTCCAATCGGCCCCGTTGGGTGTATTTGGGCGTCACAGACTTAGTAGGCCGAATGAGACGATATGACTCTTGCACCATCGATGTTGGGAGGAAGTATGCATAGTGTTGCTTGTGTTGAGGTGTCTCTGCTCAGTGACGAACAGACGGGCGGCAACGGAGAAAGGTGCTGTCCTTATAGTGTGTGGGCATGCCTTCTCATGCCCCGATCTCAGCACAACCCACGGAACCATGCATGGGTGAGGGATATGCGACCAGCACTGCTTGCTCATTCACTTTGCTTATTGAGCACAACGCTTTCCATCAACATCATGGTCATCTTCTTTACCCAACATCCTTCCCCAGTACTGAAACGGACTTTTCCCGCTACCCTCTCCCTGGAGCTTGCTCCGTCATCTCTTATGCTTGTTCGCCAGCTGGTATTCACACCAGCTCTCGCGTCTCGTGCATGCCAGCTCCTCACGCCTAACCCTCGTATCAATTCTTCTCTCTTTCTCTTCTGCTGCCACCATCACCGTCCCGCGCGCTCATTGCAGATCCATTGTACCGCTTTTACCTTCGCCACAGGCTCGTGACATTGCTTGAGGAGACATTAGCGCGGCTGCACGCGCGAACAGAAGGTCTCGTTCGAGCGGGTCGTCGGCAAAAGGGTTGTGATCACGATTGTCACATTTCGTCACAACCACCCATCGGAAGTCATGGCTTCCTTCTCTACATCACCTAACTCACGTGAAGGACAAGTTGCCAGAGCTACGAACACGCGCCAGTTCAATGCATCCAACAGCAACACCTTGGCAAACCAGGCATCCTCTCCTGGAGCGCGGCCGACCTTCCGCAAAGTGAACGCTGCCAAGTCAGACGGCGACGAATGGGTAACGGTCGGCCCTCAGCAGCGCAGTACCTCTTCCTCCATCTCCGTCACTGCGGGAAAGGGAAACGCGTATTCCTCGTCCGGGAGCGCAACAAGCTACAGCTCATTGTCCATGGTCTCGAACCCTCCCATTGGTAGCGAATCACGCCACGCTCGCCCTGCTACACAGGGAGCCACTCTTTTCGTCGCGGGCGTCCCGCCGGTCTACGGTGTCGAACAGCAGCTAAGGGTCAAAGAAGAGCTGAATGTACATCTCAGCCAGTGGGCGCCAGTCAAAGGCATCAAGCTTGTCTATGCCAGGCAATACGACAATCACGTCAAATGCGCTTTCGCAGAGTTTGCGGTGGGTATATGCGCTGCAAAACGTCCAGTGAGATGCTGAAAACTGATCGTAGACTTTACATCGTTTGTTCTTGCAGACGGCAGCAGATGCAAACCGAGTAATGGAAGAAGCGCATGGTTCTAACTTCAGAGGTGAGTGGAGCTTATTCCATTCCGCTTATGCGCATACATTCAGGTTCATACTCACTATGTGAGCCTTTGGACTAGGCATGTACCTACGTCTGGAGCCTTCGCGAGGAGACAGGACGGTCCGCTTCGAAATGACCAAAAGCAAGCTTGACATGCAGTCTATGTCTCTCTGCGGCAACGACGAGCAAGTGCTTAGCGAGGAAGACGTCCTTGCGGAAGGCCAAGTTTTAGGTCTTACGGAGACGGTCAGTATCGCTACAGATATGGAGCAGATAAAACGATCATCACTGACATAGGCTGCGCTTGCGTGCATGCTTCCAGCTTGCTGAGAAGCTTGCTCGGCCTTTCGGGCACATCGAAGCTGTCGACAGACGTTTTGCGGACTTGGGAAACGGTTCCGTCATCGATGTCGTGATGAGTTCAAGTGAAGAAGCACGTGCAGTTGTCAATGTAAGCGTACTGCGCTGCTCGACCCAAACACACTAATGGCATTCTAACATTTTCTTGAGAGCTTTGCAGGTCCTTGGCAACCTCAAAGCGGCCAGCGGTCTCAAGGTTGGTTGGGCCCAATTCAACTCGTGTCTTGGGGGCAAACTCGAAGACACATTCCCACAAGACAGCTCCAGCTCCAACGAAGGGTCGTGTGATGACCAAGTTGTTTCGGGACCAGCTGCAGCTCGTGAACAGGCCGCCTCGACGATCAAATTGCTGCCTTCTGTCACGTCTTCAACAACGGCTCAGCCGCCTTGCGACACAATGCGACCATTCAAAGAAGCCGAAGTCCAGCGTGTCATGGAGAGTCGGCTCGAGAATCAACCCTTTTTGACATTGGAAAGACTGTTGTTAGAGCCTGCTGTCCATGCACCGACTAAGTCCCAACGAAAGAAGGTCACGAGAGCCGGCATGCACAATCAAGGAGAGCATCGTGGTTGTACAACATCCAGAAAGGGAGTTTTCTCATCAGCACCACCCACACCTGGGGCTGGCAGCGAACAGGCATCGCAGGAAAAGGCATTGGAAGCTCTCAAGCTCGAATTAGGCATTTCAAGCTACAATGGACCGTGGGGTTCCTCTGAGCACAACAGTCCGACCATCATGAGCAGCACGCCAAAAAATGAAAGCGTCTTGCTGGAATCGGCCACCTCTGGGCAAGAAGCAGGCAGACCAAACACATCGCCCCTTGAAAGGCCCCGTCACAGTCAGGTGGACGAGGAAGGCAATTCGACCGTCAGCTCTGCTCAAGTAGCCACTCCGCGTTCGGAGTCAGGAAGAGTCTCCATATCTGACCCTTTCAAGCACAAAATGCCCGGCAATTTCGCAACACCCGCGTCTGTGTCAGGTTTCGGCAAGCCTACTCAATCGTTCGATCTGGTTTCGCATCCTGGAAGTAGCGAACAGCGCGCGTATGACCTAGGCATCATCTGGGTCGGACACATCGGTCCTCTTGCCACCGATTCGGACATTCGCGATTTTTTTTCCGATTGCGGGCCGATCAAGCGGGTCAAAACCATGCGCAGCGTCAACGGCACCTCTTTCTACGCGTTTGTCAATTTCCTCGAAGATTCCAGTGTTGATTTAGCTCTCGCGAAGCACGGTAAACCCTGGAAATTTGGCAAAAGCATCGCCGTGCGTCGAAAGACCAAGGTCTCGCCTGCGATTGTAGCAAAGAAGCAGCGCGCATCACTCGCATCCGAATCGAGGCGTAGCTCTGGTGCGTCTCCAGAAAGTGTGCCCCGTGCATTGTCTGCGCTGCGCTGGAGGAATGGCGAGATGGGCGCAACCCTCAGACACAACACCCAGTCACCGGATCATGACAAATCGCCTGAGACTTCGAACAGGGAGCGGGCGACTCAAGTAGCAAAAGCGATGTTGGGAGAAGGCGCAACTTCTCCCGAAAGCAGTAAAATGTTCAGCCCGGCACAAGAGTATACGCCTCCTGCTACGCAGACATCCTCTATGCGGAATGGGCCCGCAGCGGCTAGACATGCGCCCTTGAGGCAAACCAGCTCCCTTGGTTCTGAAAACGGGAAGGGTCTCGCTTCAGCCAAGAAACAACCTTTTTCGGGCACCAGAGATACCTCGTCATCTTCAACTGGCAGTTTCAGACAAGATAGCTACGGGCAAAGGTACCAGCCGCAAGACCCTTCTGTCGCAGCGCAGAAGGAAAATTTCCGCCCTCTGCACCCTGCTGTCGTACCTCCCATGATACCAAACGTGCAGCCATATGCAGTCACCTGGACTGGCGATCGCTGGCTTCCCGTCCTTCCTCCCATGCCGACCGTTCTGACGCCAACGGACCCGTCAAGGATGGCAGGGCAAGTCCCACAAGGATATCTAACATACGAGCAGTATATGCTCAACATGGCCCAGCCCGGCTCGACGCCTGTCAATCTCCAGTCTCCGAGCTCCGTCACAAGTGAAGCATCGCAATTTCGTCCAGGACCACGGTCAGGCCTTCCAATGGCATATACCGTCATGGGGTACCCGATGACACCCTTTGGTGGACAGACTTACCATCTCCTCGGCGAACCGAGTGAATTTGCACACCCTGCTCCACGGGCGAAACCACAAGAACAGCAACGACTCCGACCTCCTTTCAATCCGAGGCTCGCCCCATTCGTTCCCCATTTGTGCACCGGGTACTCGCCGTCGATGCAAGACTTCCAGCTTCAAGATGGCTGTCAGTCGAGCGGTGCTGTCGGCCCCTTTCTAGGTACAGCGAGTGGTGCGTACGGCTCTCAGATGTCTCAGCCTACCAAAGTAGCACCGAATGTTAGTGGGTCGTCACCCCAGGCTCGCTCTCCCGGTACGAATAGCAAACGCTCCGCTGAGGGCGCCTGCACCCAAAAGCCGCCAATGTCTAGCGCATTCCATCATGGTGTGCCTGGCAATGCAACGCGAATTCGAGGAACTCCGTTTGGCGCGGTGGAAACTCCTAGCCAGTCTACACCTGGGAAGCCGAGTCTCGCTGCTTCAGGCATGGTGGCAAATTACTCGCCAGTCGTCCCTCAGCGATTATCAAACACAGAGTCCTCCTGCGAGCTACCATACTCGGCACCAATGAGCGATTATGCGCTTTCAGAGGGCATCCCGCCCCCCTTAACCTTGGCTCTTGCCGAAGGTACGAATGGTGCGCCAATTGTCACGAGTGCTACCGCAGGCGGCGACGCCAGCCATGTTCCTCATGTCCGACTTGCACCAGCTCAAGGCATTCAGCTTTTTCCTCATGCTTCGTTCCTTGGACCCGTCATGCAACAAGCACCTGCCCAGCCATCTCCCTCGCAAGCAATGTCCCCGCAAAATGACCTTTCAGCATCGTCCCAACGCATAGATATCCCCGCATACATGGCAGATTATTGAAGGACGACATCCCAAAAACTTCACGGCAGATGAGCAGATAAAAAGACTGTTAATGCGGCACTGAGCAAAAAACGTATTTGATTCCGTTTCAAAGTGTAGTAAAGACCCAATTTCATGCGATCGCACTAATCACCAGATCTACCGCACTTTGCTCCTCTCCCCGGACAGCCAGCTCCATCGTCACACCGGACTCTTCCTCAAACGTCATGCGACAGCGCGCAAGCACCTTAGCAGGCTTCTTGGGTAGCGCGACTAAGCCTGATAGCATGAGAGTGTGGACGGAAGATGATGCTGGCGACTCGCTGCCGCCGAGAGGCTGCATGCCGAAGAGTTCGACCAATGTGTCGCACGCAGCTGTGGAAGGGAAGGCATGGGGTGCGTCAGCTATGATTCACATGCTTAGAACTATACTAATTGCACTCACACTTCAGGCTGTCCAACGAAGTGAGTGCGAACGTCTCGATGGCGCTCGGCGCACTGGAAGACTCGAAAGCGGACCACTCTTGGTTCCAATCCGCATATGCTTCCGTGACATAATCTGAAACGCCGAGCTTCAGCTCTGCAGTCTGGTATTCGTCGTCGTAGCCTTCATCCTCTGGTTCTCCGCTCGTAGGGTCGACTTCCTTTGTGACGAATTTGAGCGTGTTGTTGACGCGCACTTGCGGGAAGTCATTAGAACCATTCTTGCGAGTGAAGGACACGTAGACGATACCCGATGGCGACTCTGCAGAAAGTGCAGGGCTAGGGAGGATGAAATCTTCCTGTAGACCGCCTTCTTCCGCGCCGGTAACAATGACCTGCACATTCTCCAGCACTGTATCCGGCAGCGTGTTGTTGATGTTGTACTGCAGGACGATATGCTCGGCAAAGACGTGTGTGACAGCTGTAACGACGTATTCGGTCTCGCGCTCGGTGAGCTCGATAGGTTTGCTAGAGCTCTTGAGCACGCGACCGTAGGCCTTGAACTCGGGAATCGCTGCGAGCTCGTCTGCGTAGCGCGAAGGGTCGCTGGAGGCGGTGGCAGAGACACTCGCCATCGCGGCAGCGCCAGCGGCCGAGGTGGATGCTTCGCCGGCCCGGATGCCGGCTCGAGTGGGCTCCGCAGCCATAGCGACCTTAGCCGTGGCCTCGTTCTTCGCGCGCAAGGCTTCCTGCTTCGCCTCCTCCTTGGAGATCTTTGGGACAGCTGAGGCGTCGAAGACCTTCGCCGAGGCAGATGGGTCCGAGACGTACGCTTGCAGCTGGGCCTCAAGGGCAGAAAGCTTGTAGCTCGATTCATCCCCAATCAGGCGCTCAGCGAGACGATTCTGCCTGAGCATCTTGAGCTGCATCACGGCACGGTCTCTGACCTCGTCGTCGACATCGTCCAGGCAGCGCTCGAGTAAGATCTGGATACGCCCGCGCAGCGCCTTGTCTTGCAGGCCGAATTTGGCCAGACTGCTGACGGCTGCGGCGCGCACGATGGCGTTCTCGAGGATGACGCGGTTGTAGATGTAGCGGATGTACTTATGCGGGTCCGGCATGCTTGGGCCTTCGACCCCAAGGAGATGCAAGATGCGCACGCTAAGCTTGGTGAATTCGCAGTCTTCGATGAACTCGCAGAGATGCGCGAGGGCCGTCTCCTTGCAGTCGCCAATGAACTTGATCATGTCGAAGATGGCTTCGACGACAGCACGCTTAAATTCGTAGCCGCCTTCGTCCCTGAGGACGCCAGAGAGAAAGCTGAGCATGACGGTCTGCTTGCTGGGGAACTTGAGGCAAAGGGAGCGGATAGCGTCGACGACAATGACCTTGAATTCGTCGCTGATCTCGGCCATGAAGCCGCTGATCTGCTTCATCAACCTGTCGACAGAAGCCTCGTTTCCCGTCTTGAGCAGCGTTGTAATAGCGTACGTGGCAACGCTGCGATTGGTGTCCGTGATGAGGTTCTCCATGTCGACGTTGCAAGTCTGCACGGCTGTCGGATGCGACTGTGCAAGCTTTGCGAGGGTGCGAATGGCGGCGAACTTGAGTGCGCTGCGCGGTGAGGAGAGGAAGAGCTGCAATACGGCGATTGACTTGACCAGCTCTTTCGGGCTGACACCACGCATCTCACAGATAGCCTTGGCTGCCTCGTAGTTGACCATGTCGCTCTTGTGCCGCAGCCAGTTCTCGAGCATGTCCATCATCATCATGCGCAGGTTTGGATCCTCCTCTGCCACACGCGCAGCGAAACGGACTAGCATGCAGATGGCGTACGGATTGCGCAAAACGGCCGCAGCTGATCCGCCAGCGCCGTACTGCTGGACCATCTTGGTCACGGCCATTCTGTCACCTTGGCGAATGAGGTAAAGGAGGCCGAGGGCGTGATACTGGGTGATGAAGCTGGTCGAGGCTACGATCTGTGAGCCTTGGCCGGAGCTCGGAGAATCACGGCCGCTGTTGTATCCGGCTGCGCTCGCTGCAAATCCTAGGTAGCTGCCTAACCCGCCGCCTCCCGAGGAGTAAGTGGACGCAGGGCCAGGCATCTTGGGGTTGATCGCCTCCTGCGCCTCGTTCCCCCAGCGCCGCACCACTTCCCTGGCGGCGACTTGTAGCTGATAGGCCGAAACAATGGCTGCAGACGAGATGCTGCAGTTGCGGTCGACAATGGCTGACTTGAAGTAGCGTTCCAGGCCTTGCGCCATGGAAGGGTCGACCACGCGGGAGAGGGCACGGATGGCATTGGGGCGGTAGATGACCTCGACATTTGGCTGCATGTCCTTCATGATTGAGGCCGTGACCATGATGACATCCTGTGCCAGAGCACTAAGCTCCTTGATGGCCAGATAGACCATCTGCCGGAGTGCTGGATCCCTGTGCTGGAACAGTTTGGTCGCGCCAAAGAAGAGTGTCGTGGCTTCCTGCTGCGAGAAGCTCTCGCCCATGTAGAGCAGGTAGAGTACCTTTGTCAGCAGGATACGACATTTCCGAGGTGAGATGGGCGACTCGTTGAAGACACGGGCTTCTTGGATGACGGACGTCTGTCAGGGTAACAGCAACATTGCGAAAAGCACGGTCAGTGTTCTGTTTCCTCAAAAGACAAGCGGCACGAGTCCGATCTTCGCAGGCATATGCGCTCAGCATGCAGATTGCGATGAGTACGCATGTGCTGCTGGCGTTACGCTCGAACAGCATCGTCCTGCCCCTCCGGGAGAGACTTCTTGCAATACACCCACCTTATCCTGCCAGAATGACCCGACGCCAGCGGCGCTTTCGTCGTCCTTCTTGAACGACATGCTGGGCTGGATCGGTGGTGCCGGTGGTGCCGGTGGTAGCAATGGTAGAGGTGGAATTGCGACACACGCGCAGATCGACTTGGTCTCGCAATCTCCGAGCGAAGCGAAGAGCGAGCCTGTCGATGTCTCTACTTGTCCATCGAGCGTAGCTGGATCTCTGGAAGGAGCGGTTCAACGTTTACAGTTGAGTGCCCGCGCTCTAATTGAGGTGCGCGCGAAGGGAGTCAGCCGAAGGCCAGAAGACTGGCGCGGTGCCTCAACACGAGGACGAGGGGATCCACCCACCAGGACGACGCCCCGACCTAGATAGACACCTCGCAATTCAGACAGCAACAGTGTTCGATATTGATATAACAAAGCTTCGGCAGGTGCCAGGGCGACAATAAACCAGAGCGTCTCGCCTGGCCTCTGCCCAAACAAACGTGCGATCAGGAAACCCTTCAATGAGTCAATGCGAACTCAGCATCCGAAGGGTGGCCTGAGGTTTGAGTTTCAGGGCCTCGAGCGACCCCGAGGACACATTACGGGCGGTTGTATGCGCTCAAGGATGTCCCACGTGAACAGGCCACTGCTGTAGATCTGCAGAGCACGAGAACAAGGTATCAACATTTCTATGGAGTCAACCGCGTCTGAATTTTATGCGAGTGAAACAATCCCTGAACGCTTTCGTCGGAAAACATACATGAGACCCCACGTACATACCCCGACACTCTCGCAGAAGGTCAGGGAACAAGGAAGTGAGAGGAAACGAGAAGCTTGCATATCTTCAATCTTCGCGATCACGTTTCGAGCCAATGGGCACGAGCGCCTCGCTCTTTCCTGCCACCGGAGCGAAGGACGTAGATGGCGCAGACGGCGCGGAACCGAGGCTTCCGGTCGGCGGCTGCTGCTGCGGCGCAGCGTCATTATTCACATGGCCGTTGACGTGGCGGTTGCCCTGCGGCTGCGCCGGGATCTGCGCTGATGTGAGGGTGGAGGGAGGAACAGCAAGAACGACATCTCTGGTGTTGGAGTTGCTCGCGTGATTCGGTGTGCTGTTGACAGCCGCCGGAGCCGTGCCAGTGCCGACGCCGCGCGGGTGCAAGCCGCTATGGCGCTCCAGGGAGATTCGGCTAGACTGATTTGAGCCACCATTCGGCTGGTGGACGGGTGCTCTGCCTTGCTGCTGCTGCAACGATGACGATCTGCTAGACTGCGGCTGCGGCTGGTGCGGCGCCGCCACCGAGGCAACAGCTACACCTTCCACTCCGGTCTCCATCGTAGCGGTTGCGCCGCCCTGGTTGGTGATGAGGCCACGCAGCCATCCGAGCTCGGTCTTCAGTTTAGCATTCTCGTCCTCGAGCTCCTGGACGCGGTCGCGCAGCTCCTTCGCGGTGGTTTCCAAGGCAGCTTCGCGCTGCTTCTTCTTAAAGCGGAAACGGGCTGTACGAAAGACGGCGAGGGAGAGCACAATGAGCAACTGTATTCACATACAGTAAGCGTGCACGCAATAAGTACTTACCACTAGCAGCCGTATTACGACGCCTCTTATCTTCCTCGATCGCCAGACGGTTCGCCTCTGCGTCTGCCTCGGGGTTACCAGTGTCGATGAGCACAAGCGGGGGAATATTGCTCTGGTCAATGTCGGACCGATGGTACGGTCCCGTGATGCCAAAATCGCCGCCGCTGCGACTATCATTCCTCGGCCTCCCGCTTCCACTGCCGCTAGCGTTAGCACTGCCACTATCTCCACCACTGCCGGACGGAAAGACAGGAGAGGACGGGCTGCCTTCGGCGCTGCTGTTGCCTGCACTAGTCTGGGCTTGGGCGTGATGCTGCAGATCTGCGCGTGAGCTCTTCCTGCTGATGGAGCTTCCACGCTTCTTCTTTGCTACTGGTTCTTTGCCTTCGGTGCTGCTATTACTGTTGGAGTTGCGGCCTTTACGGCTCTGCTCCTCGCTCGAGCCTTGGCCGGTCGCTGGCACAGAGCCTACCGTATCAGCATGAGCGCTGGCGCTCTGCTGCGATTCACTAGCTCGGACCGCAACATCCCTGCCATCGCTGGTGGTGACAGCGCGCGGCCGCGTCTGATAAGGAGCAGCAGGCTGAGCAGTGCCGTTTGCGGAGAGAGCTGGCGCCCAGCCCGCCGTTTGCGGCGCAACAGCTGCACCTGGCGCGGCCCTGGAGAACGCGTCCCAATCTGGTCGCCCCTGCGCCTGTGACTGTTGCTGCGGAGCGCCGCCAGTGCTCGAGCCTTGTGCAGCGGTTAGCTGCGCGATGTTAAAAGGCGCTGGAGCGCGGTAAGAGACGGCGGCGTCACCAAAGCCGGGTATTGCGCTGAGTGCTGCAAAGGGATTGAGACCGCCTTGCTGCTGCGGCTGATATTGCTGCTGCTGCTGATTTTGCTGTTGATTTTGCTGCTGATATTGATGCTGCTGCGGGAAAGCAAGTGCGGCAGCTTGGAGCGCAGCGGCAGCCTGGAAGAGCTGCTGCTGTTGGCTCTGCGCTTGATGTTGTTGATGTTGTTGATGTTGTTGATGTTGTTGTTGCTGCTGCTGCTGAGCCGCAGGCGTGGCGGCGCCATTACCACTAACCCCTGCTGTTGGCGCCTGAGCTGCACTAGGCGCAGAGGAATGTAGGCCTGGGACGCCCTGCAAGCCGGTCAAACCGGCAAGAGCCATGGGGTTGCTGGCGAGCAGATGCTGCAGTGCCAGTGCAGACGTGATGTCGATGCCCGATGGAGTCTGTGGCGTAAGGGCTGCAGAACCATTGGGAGTCGCTTGGTTTTGGTGCTGTTGATTCTGCCAAGCACCAGCAAAAGGATTGATGCCACCACCGAAAAGTTGCTGATGAGTCGCCTGGGGTGATGTGAACAGGCCAAAGGGGTTGTTGAACGGGATAGAGGCCGGGCGGGAGGAATGTGCATTGAAACCGATAGTGGGGTTGAATGGAGACAATTGCTGCTGCTGCTGTGGCTGGGCAGACGAAGATGTAGACGCTTGCGTGCCGCTGTTGCTAACAGGAGCATTGCGCGTATCTCTCAGGGTAGTGTTACCAGCATCTGCTCCGCGGTTCGAGGCGCTATCTGCGCCATTGGAGCCACCCTCGGAGCGATCGGCAGGGTTGACTGGGCCGAATCCGGGCCGGCGCGGCTCGGAGGAACTGCTGCTAGGCGGGCCAAAGTAGTGCTGCTGAAGCTGTGCATGAGCGTGCTGATTGTGACCCTGGTGTGTCGGTTCTGTCATCTCGCGATCTCCATTTCCATCCCCACCACAACCCACATTGGCATGGTGGCTGTCATAGACGTTGCGTTTTCTGTCTTCCCTATCATTGTTTACATCGACAGTTGTCCTGCCTTTGCCCCCGCTGTCCCCTTCCATGTCCTCCTTTTCCTTGTCCTCATCTGCCAGCAGAGCATGACCCGTTGGCCCATCGAAGCTGAAGGATGCATTGGTCCACAGCGCCAGTTGCTCTGCAAAGTTGGCCGTCTCTGGCGACAGAGCGTCGAGACCAAAGGGCGAGGCTCCCGTGCCTGTAGTACCATTTGCAAGCGGTGTGCCCATGTTGGTCCCGTTCGTAGTGGCAGCTGCGCCAGGAACAAGGGTAGACGGAGAGACAGCGCCTGGACCGGGGTCTTGGTTGCTGCTGCTTCCATTTTCGCCTTCAGGCGCGGCTGCTGGGATGAATTGGTTCAGGCCCCAGAGAAAGGAGGGCCCGCCGTTGCTGCCATTGTTGAATGCCATTTTGGCCAGTGCTTCTCGATACTCTCTCACAAGCTCGAGGCTGCTTGCGGGAACAGGCGGCGAGCTGGAGAGTGCGAGTCAGGAAGCTAGCTGAGGACAGTGATGCGGTCGGCGCCTTGTCGAGCCTGCCACGTGCACTAAGCACCACTACCAGAGCCGTAGGATGTAGCCCGCCTCTGCCTGGCGGTAGTGACCGAGCGGGGTCCTGCCAAGCATGAAAATGAGGAAGTATCACCAGCTCGAATACCAGACAATGGAATAGGGCGGAGATATGACTGATTGGCGACCACCCTGGAGCGCGGCACGGTGGCATGCTACATACCGTTTCAGCGCTTTTCACTTCTCTGGTGCTGCTTGACTGCGCAGCCAAAGCTGGCGGGGGCAGCTCTCTTCGGACGAAAGGAAAAAAGGCGACCGCTGATGTGATTTCGGTCGATCCGGTGCATGCTTTTACAGGGATTCACTCCGCTGATGTCTGATTATCTCGTACCTGCTCCACTTGTAACCCCGGCCGGAATATCCCCCCCACCCTCCCCTCCCGTCTTTCCCCTAGGCCCACATCCATCCGGCAATCACTCTCCACTGATTCGTGTTCGTGAAACCTAGGAGGGGCAGTGACTGTCCTTGGAAATATTGTGAAGGGACGAGCAAAATATAGGTACAAAGCGCCGACGTCTAGTAGTTTGTGCGTGTTTGTATCGCATCGACGTTTCGAGCAGAGCGCGTCTTGCCGCCTTTTGTAGACATGAAGCCCCTGCGCCCATGGCAAGTGAGGCAAGGAGCGAGCGCGGAGGAGAGAGATATGTATGTACGCCAAGCCTCTCGAAATCGCGAGGCGACAAGGGAAAAGAGGGAAGGCAGACCAGTTATGTGCTGTTCCGAAGTTAGAGTTGGGAATAAATTTACAATTGCGCACTCCTCATGCTTCTTCGGCGACAGCGGCGGAAGCGGAAGCGGCAGCGACGTCATCTAGCCGAAGAACGCAGAGGACCTTGTTCTGCTGCGCGATGGACAATCGCGCTGACAACGATGGACCTGCATACATGCCATTGACCATCACCTCTCTCTTGTCGGCGGCCTTGGAAGTGCCCTCTTCCTGCTTGACCGGACTCGGCGGTAGGCCGTTGGGCTTCTGATGGCCCGTGACGCTCGAGATGCTCGGCGCTTCAGAGTGCCATTGCACATCCATCACCGCGCCGCTCGCTTTGAAGTGCTTTACCACAGTGCCAGTCTGTGTAGGGGCAAAAGGGTAGGCGGTAAAGAAAGTCAACACAAGCGCCGCAAGTGTGACAATCGCGGACTGGGCTGCAGCAAATGGACTCACAGAAATCGAAGAGATATAGATCCTCTCATCGATGCCTCCCGTAACCAGCAACTTGGCATCGGGCGAGAATGCGAGCGAGTAGACACTGTCCTTGTGCTCGGTGATCACCCGCAGGCACGACCCATCATCGGCATTCCACAGACGCGCGGTATGATCAAACGCGGACGTCGCCAGCATCCGCGGCTCAGACTGGTTCGCAGTACACGGCCCAGACGGAGCCCATGCGAGCGCGTAAAGTTCCCGCGTGTGGCCTTTCAAGGTAAATCTTAACCCTTTGGACACTTTGGTGCCCTTTGCTAGCAAATCTGCTGGCGATGAGCCGCCTGCTTCTGCCGAATCCTTTGATGCTGATCCTTTCGTCTCTCCCTCGGATGCGTCGACGTCCATCGCTGCCGCTCCAGTACCAGCTCGCGACTGCCCATTCGTATCCGGGCTCTGCCGCTTCCGTGTCCCGCTCGGCGACTCGCTGCGCTCCGATGACATTCCCGTCACGGATGAATCTAGCGCCCAGATCTTGGCGCTGAAATCATCAGAGGCGGATGCTAAGAGGGTATGCGAATAATCGAACGCGATCGCGTTAACTTCGTCTGAGTGCCCTTTGAACGTCCGAATCGGTTTTGGCTCCCCGAGCTTCAGCAGGTTAATTGAATTGTCCGCAGAGCAAGTCGCAAAGATGCCGTCTTGCATTGCCAGCGCAGCGGACGGCATGTAGTCCCCCACCTTCTCTTTGCCACTGTTTGCTTTTGGCGAGCTGAGCCAATCGACGTCGAGCACACTGTCCGAATGTAAGGCGTACTGCTGTCGCACTTTCCCCGATGAAAGGTCCCACACGATCGCCGTGCTATCTTGCGACGCTGTCAAGAGCTGTGTCCCTTTTCGATTCCAGCGAACAGCAAAGATGGGCCCTTGATGCATGGACATGACGAGATGCAGGTCGCCCTGCGGTGTCCATAGCCGTAAGATCCCATCGTAGGAGCCAGAGGCGAGCAGCGTCCCATCCGGGTTCCAATCAAGCGTGGTCACATCCTTGGCGTGCGTTGCTGGCAGATGTTTGCAGATAGTCTTGGTTGTGACGGCCTGCGCGACAGGATCCTCATCAGGCGAAGTTGCGGGATCGGGTTTTGGTGGGCTCTCGCCGCTTGACAGGTCCCATATCCGTACTGTCGCGTCTCCAGCCCCACTGGCCAGTAGATCTGGGACTGTTGGATTCCATGCGGAGACAAAGACTTCGCCTGTATGCCCGGCAAGGATCTTCACATCACCACTGGTGAAATGCTTCCCGTCTTCTTTTTGCTTGGGAAACTTGCGCATACCCGGATCCTTTCCCTTTTCTGGTATCACTGTCGATGCAGATCTTGATGCATTCTTCGCGTTGCCTTTGCCCCCATCTGCTACGCCCTTCTTCTTTTTCTTTTTCCCTGGAGGTCCTGAAGCGACTTCTGGCGTGGATGTGCGGTCCCGAGATGAGATGCCGTTGAACCTCTCTGTCCGCGCCGGCCCATCTTGTGCTACTTCGGTTGACGTGTCAGCATCCATGCTATCGTCTGCTGCGCCATCCTCTTTGCCTTTCCCTTTGCCGTTAGTGGCCGTGCTGTCGTCTCGCCGCAGCCGCTTCTCCTCGCGTTCTGGCCGTGGAGGCGGATCGACGCCCTCAATGCCTTTGCGCTTCCCCCCGGAGGTCGCAAGCACCGCTCTGGAAGATGAGGCAACTGCGGCTTCTTCGTTTGAGAGTGCAGTGCTATCTGGTGCGAGCGCAGTCTGCGATGCTGCATCTCTGCGCGCAACCCTTGATGCTGATGGCTCGGCAGGCGGGGTAAGCGATGTTGCTCGCCTTGATCCCAACCCGTTTGGTTCTTCCTGTAATGGCGATCTCAGTCTATCATTGCATACGTGTGGGGCTCCTACTAATCGAAAAGGAGCGGAGCATGGCTTCTCTGACCCGTCCTGTTCAAACGTGGCAATAGCCATCAGCATTGTCCTTTATCAAGCTCGACATGCACTCAGAGCAAGTGTTTTGTAACATCCTTCCGAAGCCAGGGTGTATACTCCACTCACAGCATTGACGTGGGATTCCACAGCAAGATAGAGTAACCCCTTTTGGAGAACGCGTATCAATCGTCCCGGCTCGATGATGGCCTCCTTGCTGAGCGGGTCATCATCCAATCGCCCTTCATGTCGCAGCGAGAAGCACGCATGAGAGAATCCAGACTCTTTGAGGTAGTGATATACCAAGAGATTGATCTCAGAAGAGGTGCAGACCGGCGCCATCTTGGATCTCCGTGCAATGGTGCCTACGGATTGGCTTGACGCTAACCAAGTCGAGTAAGCAGCGTGGCCTCGCGTTGCCTACTTTGCAGGCGGCAGGCGAGGCTTTGTGCTGGATGTTCCTGGCGTTGACAAAATCAAATTTTGCTGCCGCGACAGACTAGTGCAGCGTATTACCAGCACCCAGCAATGGGAGAGCCGGATGCGCTGTCAGCAGCTCGCCCGCCCTTGAATCAGCCGAAGCGGGCGAGGTGAGCGGATGAGGAGGACCGTGCAGCCCCGGTCGAGTCGACGCCCACGATGAGCGCGCAAGACAACGCGCCAGCGGCAGTCGAGCATGTGCATGCGAAGTGTCGGTACCCTTCGCTGAATCTGAAGACTGGCAAGGGGCTGCCTATCCGTTGGATGGATGTCGAGATGTAAGGAGCGGGTTGCAGAGAGGGAGGGAAAGGGTTAGGGAAAGGTGTTGCGAAAATCTGCGGGCGCTTGACTGCCCGCGCAGAGGACGAGACAACCAGCCGAGTGCCTCAAATCAAGACCGAAGGGTTGAGCAACACACGGCAGGCACCAGGCCACAGTCCACAGGGAATAACAGCTCGCGCCGTCGCGCGCCCCGCAGAAGCACTTCTGGTCTCTCTCCACAGAAAGGTAACAAGTCGCATGGTATCGTTCAATTCCATACTCCTACGATTCATACCATTTAAAGCAAATGAAACACAAGCAATCAAAGGGCGCTGATTGTAGAACTAAATATTTCATAGGTGCGCGCGGTCCTCTGCCCACCGCTCTTGTTCCTTGGTCCACTCGACGACGGGCGGAGCATTGCCATTGGCGTGCTGTAAGATCTTGCGGCTGACGAGCTGCTCTCTCCGATCTTTGCCTTCTCTTCTGAAGCGACCAAGTCTTTCCAGGTGCTCCCAGAGCTTTCCAGTAGGCTGCAGCTGACCTTCCTTCCATGTAGGTCTCCAGTCCGGATGCAGCGCCACGAGCGGGATGGGCTTGACTGCGTTCGACGGTTTACGGATGATCATGCCCAGCTCCTCGTATCGCCCAAACGCTTGCTGCAGCACAGCGACGTTGATCGCCTCCAGATAGCTCAGCTCGCCTTGCTGGTAGAGCGTTTTGCCAAAGAGCTGCGCGCGCTTCTCAAAGTCCTTGGACGCGAACCAGGCAGTCGAGCCAGCCGCTCCCGCATTCTCTGGAATCGGCGTCAGGCACACTAAAGCGCAGGCTGCCAACCAGTAGCCCTGTGAAAGCCAATCAATCGTCAGTATTCTTCTTCGTGGCGTCTGGACAATATGTGCCTGGCACCCAGGCACTCACCTCAATGAAAGGCCAGACCATGAACAAGTAAGTGTCAAAGTTTTCCCGTCCAATGTCCCTCTCCTGCGGTGCGAGGCCGATGGTCTCGTCCTCGAAACGCTTGAACACGCGATCTTGGACAAGAGTCTGGATCGTCTTGTCGACATTGTCGCCAAGCGATTCGGTCCCATAAACGAATTCGTTCTTGAGCACCATACTCAAGAACGCCACTTCGGAGTCGAACTGGCCGCGCGTCAGACGCTGATTGGGCGCTGCGCCGCCTTGCTTGACGGCCGTGTAGAGCGTGGCGGATGCCAGACTCTCAGAGACGAAGACGTGCATGACCTGGTTGCGGTAGAACGAGAGCTCAAAGCGCCTGATGGGCTCGAATGTCGGCTCCATGACGTCCTTGTGCTCAAAGATGAGGTCCTTCATGAGGCCGAGCGTGCGATCGACTACTTCACCTATCGACATCTGCCCAAAGTCGGCGACACGGTAGCCTTTCGCCAGAATGGCTGAGCGCAGCCACTCGACGCGGCGAATTAACTCGCGACGTCCGACGCCGCGACCGCGCAGCGTGAGGATAACTGTTCCGACGAGGGCTGCGGGCATGACGACCGATGCGCTGTTGATATCGGCCAAGATGCGGTAGCCGAGCGCTTTGAGGAGGATAAGCTTGTGCTGAGGCCTGTTCTTGGCGTCAAACGGAATGGCGGGCGAGCCAGGATGCTGTGCAATGTCACGACGCTCGCGTTGCTCCTCCATGAAGCCTTTGAGCGACCAAGGCTGCTGGAAGCGGACTGCGAAGAGAGTAAAGGGAATGGGGTGTTAATCTGTTTGTAAATATCTCACGCGATGTGGGAACGCACTGTCGATCCTTCCCATTTTTAGCTGCAATAAGCTGGAGCTACCGCTTAGCAGCCCGAGTAGTGTCTCGCTTTCTTTTGGTTTTCCCAGTAGTTCCGAGACGTACGTCTCGCTCTCGATGACACTGTCGTACTGTAACGATATGGGACAGATCCAGACATCGTTCGTGCGTCCGTCCATCAAGCCGTCTACAATATACTTGAGGATTCCTAGCTTGGGAGGTAAGAGCTTTCCCGTTCTCGAGCGCGTGCCCTCGATGAAGCATTCGATATTCTTTCCCGCTGCGAGGAGTTGCTATGTGGCGTCAAACGGCAGCAAAGAGGGTCAGTCCGAATGCAGCTGGGGAGCCTTTTGACGATCAGCGCTCACCTCGATATATTCACGAATGACGATCGGATAAAGTTCATCCCCCTTGAACTGCCTCCTGATAAAGAAGGCACCTCCCCTGCGAAGAATTTGTCCCACAACTGGAATGTCCAGATTCTCGCCGGCGACAATGTGCGGCAAGGCAATCCCTAGACGGAACATTAGCCAGCTGACTGTGAGATAGTCCTGTGCAGTCAAAGCAAAGCGAAGTGAGTTTATTGGAAAGCTGTCCACAACGAACAGTGATTCGCCTTAACACGCACGATGTGGCTTTTGTGTGCTGGAAGAAAGATCAGGCTTTGTTTCTTTTCGGCCGCATGAGCTGCTGCCCTGCGGAGATTCATGACCTCGGGTGCCGAGATGTGAATACCCTGGTTGTACATCCTCGCCAAGATGTTGTTGACACTGGCGGCAAAGACCTTTAGGAAAGGAAGGCTATCAAGCCTTGCTGCCGACTTTTCCATCATGGCTGCCGCAACATCGGTCAGTTGGGCTTCCATCTCGCGTCGCCTGCGCTCGCGAAAGACAAAGTATTGCTTGCGTTCCTTGTCATCGGCAGGAGCGTGCGAGTCGGGAAGGAGCCTGTCAAGACGCTTGGATACGAGAACCTGAATTCGCATGCGCACCGCTTCGCTCGTCAGCACGCCGTGGATGGCTTCGGTAGATGAAGATGGGTACAAGATGGGGGTGCCTATGTAGTCTGTGTATCTGCATGCCACGCCGCAGGGTCAGTTAATGCATTCCGGCGCGACGCGGTTTGACCGTATCATATCACATTCGATACATACCCTCTCCATCCCTCGCCTTGTCCATAAGCCCAGACTTGCTGCAAGAATGCGACCGGGTCCTCTCGAAAGTGGGCCTTGTACGCGGCGACGACGTTGAGGTCATTTTGCTCTCCTTCGGAGCCGTCGATGCTGCCACGGACATCAGGAGAATTGACGTCTATATGATCGATCAAGTCTAGGGTCCGCTGGCGTATTGGAGCACCAGACTGCGAGGTCGAAGCGGAATCCAGCACAGACGGCTCCAGCAAGGAGCAGGAAGAGGCAGACGAGGGTGATGAGAGCGCTGCAGAGGCTGCATCCCCACGACCAACGGATGCACGCTTCATGCTGCCTCCTGCGGTGAGCCCTGGGCTCCCGTTGCGGTGACTTTCAAGTGCCCGATAGATGGAGGCGCTACAGGCAGCTGGAACCGATGCGAAATGAATAGCCACCGTCGATTGTCCAATGTGGTCACTGCACAAAGCGTCCTCCGATCAGCTCGACAGGCCCAATAAGAAACACTTTCGACATGCGGGATGGTCCAGAATTGTGGGGAGAGCGGAACTCATGAAGACTCCAAGTTGGCATCTCGGCTGACGCGCTGTGGGTAGAGCACTGGTGCCTCTTTATGGGTGGCGCTCTGCCTCCAGGCCGTCGCTTTTGACTCATGCCTCAGTGTATCACGAAGCGCGCTCAGTTGGGTCAGGAGAGAGGCGTGCGCGGATGATACGGTGGTGGCAGTCTCCCGCAGAGCAATAGAGTGAGCCCAGCACATCTCGAGAGACTTCATTACCGTAGTCACGCTTCTAACTCGAAGCAGGTTCATCGACCTTGGTCTGAAGGAGCCGTCTGCACAACCAGCAACGACGCGGCGGTGGCTCCAACCAGAGGTCACTGGATATGTCCGACAGGACCGCCGCCGATCGGGCGGCAGCTGCAGCACGAGCTCGGAAACAGGTGAGCCTGTACATTGGTTGTGTGGAGCGTGCAATGCCGCAAGTGCTCATCCTTGAGCGTACCTCTCTTTGCACCTCTCATTATAGCTCGCAAAACATCAAAAGAAGAAGACAGGAGCAAAGGACGGCGAAGGAAATGGAGACACAGAGGGGAAGGCTGAAAAGCAGAGCACGGGCAAGGGCGCCGACGAAGCTGATGACAAGTCGGCCAGCGCCAACGATGCTGCTGCTTCTTCCTCTCGGGTAGATGAGGAAACAGGGGCCGAAGTAGGGGAGACGTCGACGCTGGGAGAGGAGCTCTCCGCGGCGCTGCAGCGAGACCTTGAGAATGCAAAGGCGCAAGTAGAAGCCCTCCAAACAGAGAAGGCTGCCCTGAAGTCCCGCATCGACAAGCTCGAAAGCGAAGCCGCCGGCAAGTCCCAGTCGTCTAGCAAGGAGTTGACAGAGGCGAACAAGAAACGTGAGCAGGCGGAAAAGGAGCACGAGACCGCACAATCAAAGTGTGAAGAGCTCCAACGAAAAGTCGAGGAGGCTAAGGAGTCCGCCAAGTCACTCCAGTCCAAGTATGACAGCGTCCAAGCGTCGCTCTCCAAGCTGGAGAAACAGAACCAGGAGCTCGAAGGCGCATCCAAGAAATCTAAGGAGAAGATCAAGGACCTTGAAGTGCAAGCTAAATCCGGAAAGGCCAAAGATGTAGAGATCAGCACGCTGAAAAAGAGTCTGAGCAGCGCAGAAGATCGCGTCACGAGCCTCGAGGCAGAGGTAAATCGACGAGGGCAGACACTGAACGACACCAAGGTCAAAGTGGAAGAATCCAACAAGCAAATTGATATGCTCAAACAGGACAAGTCAAGTCTGGAAAGCAAGCTCAAGGATGCGGAGAGCCGGGTTACCAAAGTTTCGGACAGCGAGACGAAGCTGAAGAAGCAATTGGAAGACGCACAAAAGGAAGGAAAGGATGTGCGTTCGCGGTACGACTCGCATAAGGGCGAGCTTGACAAGCTCAAGCAGGAGCTCTCATCTGCGCAGGATGAGGGAGCCACTTTGAAGGCGTCCCTGGAGGCAACCAAGAAAGAGGCAGGCGATGCGTCCAAGCGAGCGTCGGAAGCGGAAAAGAGGCTGGATAAATTGCAAAAAGAGAGCGAGCGGCAGGTCAGCACGCTGATGGATGTCAACAAGCGTGTAGGAGACCTGACGCAGGAGAAAGCAGCGTGGACGGAGGAGAAGGCGGCCTTGGAGAATAAGATCAAGGACGCGGAGGGCAAGGCGTCGGATGGGGACAGGCGGGTCAAGGAGCTTGATAACCAACTCGCCGCGTTGGAAGCTTCGGCAAAAGCTGAAGAAAAGACCAAGGTTAATGCGGAGAAGGAGAAGACTTTGCTAAGCAAGAAAGTGTCAGAGCTAGAGGCTGCGCTAGCTGCCACTAAAGAGTCTGCGGAAAAGACGACTGCCGAGCTCGAGGCGAAAGCGAAAGCATCTGGGGAGGAGCTGAAGAGCATGAGCACATCCCTCCAAAAGGATCTGCTAGCTGCAGAGAGCGAGGCGAAAAAGCTGCAATCAGAGCTGAAAGAGGTGCAGGCGGGGCGAGATGAGCTGAAGAACGCGCTCGACAGCACCAAGAAGGAGGGAGAGAAACTCAAATCCGAGGCAGAAAGGCTCATCCAGAAGGTCGAAGAGGCGGAAGAACGGGCACAGGTGCCACTTGCGCCGGTAACGGTGGCGGACAACAAGCAGCTTTTCGACAAGCAATTCGTTGACGACCTCAGCCAGCAGCATGAGCAAGATCTCTCCGCTGCGCGCTCCCAGATCCGCAAACTCGAAGCGTCACTGTTCGAGGAAACTCAAAAGGCGCGCACGGCAGCGGGCAAGGCTGCAGAGCTCGAGATGCAACTGGTAGCCAAAGAGGCCAGCTCGAACGGCAATTTACAGATCCCAGGTGGTGTTCCGCCGACCGTGACCACATCATCTGCACCGGCGTCCAAGTCTGCTCCGCTGGGCTCGCGGGCGCACAGGCGCAGTGCAACCGCTGCGCATGTACCCTCTCTGTCGCCGCTCGCCGAACGAGGCGACTTTTTCGACTCGCCGTCGCCCTACGCATCGTCATCAGCCAAGTCGATGCTGCAAGCAGCCTCCAAGGCATCTGCATCGGACGGGCTGAGCCCGCGGCGCGGGTTGCAGACCATCACCGCACCGACCAACCTCCCGCCGGCACAGCGACATCGCAGGAGGGAGTCGCTGCAGATGCTCAAGGCGCGCATAGGCGAAGAGCAGGACTTTTCGCTGTCCCCAAGGTCCGCTGGCTTTGGTTCCAGCGGCACCGATGCGCATCCGATCGTGCCTCTGCCGACCACGTCCATCTCATCACCGGCTGTGACAGCAGGAGAAAGTGCGGAGGCAGAACGATCCACTGCGCTCAAGACGCCGCACGCGTACCTGGCGAGTCCGGCTTTCGCGCCAGATACCAGCCCTGCGCTGCACTCAGCAGGCCGGAGTACTCAGTTTGCCGCTGAGCATTTCCTTTATTGCTCTTCTTGCAAAGGAGATCTCATCATTGTGTAATCTATCGGAGCATCCTTTATGCAAATATCAAAAACGCGCTCGTAATCGCTATTCGCAGGTACCCTGGACCTCCATATTTGCCTTTCGAAGATGTGAAACGCAGCGCTCCTTTCACGATCTGCAAGCAGATTGCATTTTGTGACTCGGCGCCCGCCTAGTGCGAGTAAACGAGTGCACGCGGTGTTGGTGATAGTACAGTGCAACCGAATGCGCGAATGCCAGAGGGAGGGAACATGAAAGGATGGGCTGGAGCATGCGGTCTTCGCATGATTAACGCAGCCGCCTGTGGGTAAACAAAACGTGAAAGAGATGTCAGTGATGGTAGAAACGTGATGAAGCGAACCAGTGACATGACGCACCTTGCCTCACGCTCGGACTCGAGAAGTGCGAGAATGTCGTCCTCCTTGACGGGGCCCTTGACGTTACGAATGATGGATCGCGAGGTGTCGTCCATGAATTCAACGCGGACTTGAATCACACCACCGCGCGAGCCGGTGCGGCCGAGGACCTTCGTGACCTGTGTACAGCGTGGAGCAGCAAAAGTGAAAAGAGTTAGAAAAATTGATTGGCTTGACAAAACGACCTTTCTCCTATCATCTGGCCACCAAAAAAGGCATGCATTGCAGCAAGCAGCATGTACCTCATCTGCCGCCCTCTCCAGCCCCCTGCTGAGAGCTGTAGACTTTCACGTGTAGCGATCAATGACACTGTGAAGCATCGAAGGGCTTGACCACCAGCCAACGACGCGCTGTCACGATAGCCAGGCGAGCCCATATGCGCCACTACCGGCTCCTACTCGACGGCTTCAACGCAAAAACAGGCTCGAGCCGAGCATACCTGCACTCTTAAACATCAGCGCTTCACTGCTAAATATCCATCTGCTCAGGCGTTCTGCACCTTGAAACCATGCTCGCACAGCAAGCTGTGGTATGTGTCTCCTGGTGTCCTCCTGGCCCTCGAGTCTTTGCATCCGGGTACTGATAATGACCTCCTTCCCCCTCGTGGATCCATCCGCGGATCTGACCAGTAGCAGGATGCGAGCGCTACTTGCATAGAAATGCACAAAAGAACCCAAGCATATCGCAATGCTTACCTTTGCGAGCTTAACTGGTACCTTTTGGGACTCCATGATGGGCGATCTTGCTGAATGCTAGAGAGCCAGACAGGGATATGCTGAACGATGATCAAGTCTTGAAGGTGAGAAGACGATCTCGGTGCACGCCTCAAGCAGTGCTGGTGAGCGCGGCACCTGTTGGTGTCGGCAGGTGCAGGCGGAGCGGTTCGTGGGCTGCGAGCGGCACTGGCGCACTTGTCTCCGCGGCACTGTTGGGCTGCGGCGATATATTGCGCCCACTCACGACTGCTCTTCCGCCGCCGCAGCTCCCGTGCCCACTTCACTCCCAGCGACGCGGCGCGCTTGACACCACCTTTGGGCTTATCTGGAACCATCCTTGCGTTATGATTCTGTACGTGATCCCGACCTTGATCATTGCTTGCGAATCTCTGAGGGCATTCAAGAGCTCCTAGAGATCATCTCCAGCAGTCCACATCAGCACATCATGGCAAAGGTCGGTGTTCCTCGGGAGATTGCAGCTGTCGCTGCCCCGAACGGCGGTGTCCGCCTGTTCGGCAAGTGGGATGCGCAGGAAGTCGAGGTCAAGGACATTTCGCTACAGGACTACATCAGCCTGAGGAATGCAGTCTACGTCCCCCACACTGCAGGGCGATACGCGACCAAGGCTTTCAAGAAGGCAAGCATGCGTGAGTACGCGTCTGGAAGAGGGAATGCAGATGCCGGCGTGCTCCGAGCTGATACAATGTTCGCCTTTCCCGATTCGCAGCCATCGTTGAGCGACTTGTTGACTCGTAAGTACTTTTGACTGAGCTCACAAGCGGGCGCATTGCGGAAGTACTGGACTGTTGCGGCGCCGACAACAATTGGAATGGCCGTATCTTTGGGTGGCATGGATGAGAGATTTGGGTGAACTTCTCGACGGAGTCTATTCATTTCGAAGCATGGCACACATGGAAGCGGTACACTATGATGGATATGTTGGCGTTCCACGCGCATCCGGTTTCCTGGTTTCAGCTTGCTTGTTGCAGGGCTGGAATTGTCATTACAGTCTCGCTGTGATTGCACACTGGATGATGAACGGAGCGGCGGCGGCTCACACCGATCTTCTCGTTTTTACAGGCTCATGATGAACGGCCGTAACAACGGCAAGAAGCTCATGGCCGTCCGTATTGTCGCGCACGCTTTCGAGATCATTCACCTCCTCACCGACGCCAACCCAATCCAGATCCTCGTTGACGCCATCATCAACACCGGTCCCCGTGAGGACTCGACCCGTATCGGTTCGGCAGGTACCGTTCGCCGTCAGGCCGTCGACGTGTCCCCTCTCCGAAGGGTGAACCAGGCCATTGCTCTCATCACCATTGGCACGCGTGAGAGCGCTTTCAGGAACGTCAAGAGCATTGCAGAGTGCCTCGCCGACGAGCTCATCAACGCCGCCAAGGGTAGCTCCAACTCGTACGTTGTCCACTCTTGTCATTTGCTTCCATGCGACGCTGACCATTTTATATCTTTTATCTTTACTTTTCTGCAACTCTCTGCATCTTCCTGAACTCTGTTTCTGATATCATGGCGGCCTTTCCATCCACCTTTCTTTTTCCTCTTCTCGTTTTTCCAATTCGGTCCTCTCATTTGGATCCGACCAAAACTCGCATGCAATCATCTGAACAATCTTAACAACGCATTTTATTTGTTTTCTGGGCGCCTGCAGCTACGCCATCAAGAAAAAGGACGAATTGGAGCGGGTGGCGAAGAGCAACAGGTAGAGCGAACATCCCCAAAATTCGGTCACTTTTACATGTACTTTTCACGCTTCCATTGCATGCTTCCACGACTTTCTACGTTCTCTTCCGCCATATGTGCACCACTTGTCTGACGTCTGCCATGAAGTACTCGATACGCCGCTCTCTCCCGTGTGGTGACGAATCATGAATGCGTGGGAGCAGGAAGCAACTATTCCGTTGTGTTTTTTCGCTAACCAAATTTCAAGTGTACAGACGTTCCGCTTCTTTGTTCCGTGATGGATTCTCCACTTTTGTGGGGAGAATCCCAATAAACTCTTCGGATATTTATTTGAATCAATTGGTCTTGCTGGGCTTTTTGATCTCCGGCCCCGAGTCCCGGTCTCACGACAGACTGCATGAACCGACCTCTAAGAGACGAACCGCCCGCCAGAAGTTTTCGATGAGTTTATGCTGTGGACCTCTCCTCTCCTCGTATGGACCGACCACGAAGCTCTTGTGATGCATCTCGGGTATAAATTGCCACTTTTGAAGTACAGCACAGACTCGGCTGCGCCGTCTTGTGTATACCTTCCCGTCTGCACTCTCGGCTCAGCATGGCTGTGCGGTGCTTTGCCAGGCGGGCACTTACTCCGGCCCGCAAACCCGTCCAGAGGGCCGCCGGACGAGTCCCCGATGTGATTAATTTCACGTCGCCTTCGCCGCCAGTCCGCTCCTTTTCTGCTGCCTCTGCTTGGGGCAAGCAAAAAGCACCTGAAGCCGAAGGAACGGACGAGGTTCAGCCATGGTGGGAGTCGAGCTCAGGATTCTTCTCGGCTTCACGCTTCGATCCGCGGCAGCCCACCGGGGGCAACTTTCATCATTCACACGACTTGGCTGCAAGCACGAGCACCGTTGGAGCGGATGCTTCGAGTGTTCCAAGTACAACTTACGGACCAAAGATTGCAGCGCTACTTCAAGCAATATATGCGGCGGGTCCTCAGAAGCCACCAGCTGACAAGGTCTGGGATCTGTACTTAGCTCTGAGCGAGGGAGGAGATGCAGCGCCGGCAGCACCGGCCACAGGCAGCTCAACCCTTCCCCTCACAGGTGATCAGAGCGCTTCTGAAAATTTCAACACTTCTCTCTTCGTACATCTCGCTGGTGTGCACCATCAGCAAGTGTTAAGAGCCATCGCGCCAGAAGAGTCTGCCAACGGACCCCAGGGATCACAGGTGGAGCTTCAGACTTTCATCGATCGAGCATGGTACATCTTTGGTCAGATGCGTCAGCACTCCATCAGCTCGTCCATCGGCTCCTTTTTCGCCAAGTCATTCGACAGCCCGGAAAGTACAAGGTTTGCCAAGGCTGGTCAGCTTCCTGCAACGTCCGACTACAATTTCCTCCTGGGCAAAGCTGCTTCGCAAGGCCGTCTAAATGTCCTATTGGCCATTTGGCAGGATATGCAGTCGCGAACCTCTTTATCAGCGCGAGGGCAAGAGGCACAATTGAGAACTCCTGCAGCCCAGCCAGATAGGTGGACATTTGAGCTGCTCATGCAGGGGCTATTTCGACACACAAAGGCTCAACTCGCCCGCATCTATCAACAGGACTCGGGGCCAAGAGCACCGAACGGTGACTCGAGATCCCCTTGGCCGAAGAATAGGCCGACGCTACAATCTGTGAAGAACAAGGCTGTGGAGGCTGCCCTTCTTACCTCGCAAGGGAGGCAAGGCAGCTCAGATGTAGCGATCAAGGCGAGGCGCGCATCATTACTCGCCGCGGAGAGATGCTTCAGTCTCATTCACAGTATGCAGGCGCAGTCCATCGACGCAACGACATTGACGCTGGACATGGCTGCTAGAATGTTGCGCTTGGCAGGGGACATGCCGGCATTCAAGCGGCTGCTAAAGGACTTTTTCGCGCTCGATTTGTCGAATCCGGATGGCGCGACTCGTCTGGTGACGACAGCGCGGCCTCCCAATGTGCACACGCTCAACACGATCCTCATGGCTCTGGGTGAATTCGGGACCGTGCCCCAGATGATTGTGGCGTACGAGACCATCTCGCGGCCTTTACTTGCTTCAACCACAGATTCTACCGGGTTACCAGCAGCAGCATCGTGGGGGCAGGAGGACGATGGGATCCTCGGCGACGATGGGACTGTTGCTGCTGTCACAGCAATTGCGGACGCAGGTGGGCAAGCGTCCGGCAGGCTTTTCCAGCTAGACTGGAGTGCTCTGTCTCGCAAAGATGCAAGCGCCCCCGAAGCAAGCACCCTCCAGTTCTCGCCTTTGCAGTCATCTTCACCTGTCACCCCGTATGCGTCGCCGCGACAGATCCATCCCATTACCAAGACATTCAGCACGATGATCCGACATGCCCTGACGCCAATGGATATCGAGCGTGTCGCCATGTTCAACATTGGCAGCGGCGAGCGCTCGTCGCACAAGCATGCACTCCGTGCCGCTGCCGAAGAGCAAAGGCGGCGGTCCGCGGGTGACTATCTGCTCCTGGTGAAGAGTCTTCTGCGCGAAGTCATCGATCTAGTTCGTGATGCGACGAACAGGATTGAACGCCACGTTGCAGATTGCACCACTGCCGCTCCTGCGACGACTTCGTCGCTGAATCCCGAGGTTCTTGCGCAACACCTCCTGCCTGCTACCGAGATGCTTGCTCCTGTCTTTTCTTTTGCGTCACGGACTCAGTCGCGAGGAATACTTTCATGGCTGGAGAACTTTGCTCAGACTGCCTTGCACACCGTTCGGGAGCAAGCGGACGTTCTCCAGGCGGCTCGCCACTCGCTGCTCTCCAACGCTAGCACTAGTGCGTCGACCCCAGGCGCGACAGCGACCTCCGCGTTCCTGGCAGGAATTGAAGTGCAGCTGTCACACCTGCAGCGAACGGAGGACGACCTCGTTCTGATGATCGATAAGCGCATCCGGCCACGACTCATCTCGCTAGCAGCCAAACGGAGGCGTGGCATGCTGCGGCGCGCCGAGCGCAGACTTGCGACCGAGGCAGAGCAGCGTGCGCGTGCTGCAGAGGAGGCGCGCTTGGCAGAAGAAGAGAAAAGGCAGCAGACAATCGCAAAAGAACAGCGAAAAGCCGCGGCTCGAAATGCCGCACCCGTGGAATACGCGGCTGAGGTGCATTTTGCTCCTGCCGGGTAATCTCATGATTGTAGCGTAGATGACCGCGTTTCATGTAGCAATCCTACCTTATCAAAAGTGTTCGCCAACTTGGCTTGCATTGTCACAAGCAAATAAGTGTAATTGCACACCTTTTGTAAATGTGCAAACGGTACAAAGATGCAATGGATCTAAGGTGGCTCGAATGTGTGGCTGTGTGGAAGTTGGTTGCTGCGTTCTGTTTCGCTTTGATGATATGCTAAATGGTGTAATTGACGATTGAAGTGGATGGATTGAAGGTCGACAGATGCATGATGCTTGTTGTGAGCTTGCTTTTGTTCGGGACCATTGTGATGCTAATGCCTCGTTCGAAAGTTGTGCTAGAGGAGAGGTTGCTGATGAAGCTCTTCCTGGAATGCTGTGAATGGATGGGGATCGCCAGGGGGGTCGAGGAACGCAGGCATGTGCGCGAATGCATCCTCTCTGACTCCGTTGGCCCCTTTGAAATGCTTTGTTAGGTAGTGGCCATTGATATGCTCGCGGTTCATGGTGATGCTAGGCCATGTTGCTGCTCGCTGCAAAAGGCATCGACAACGGCGCCTGTTCTTGCCTTTGGCCTTGCTCTTGCAATAAGAGACGATCGAGTGTCGCAACGTTCGTGGCCTGTAACTGCTGCGCCAGCGCTTGCAGCTCATGCTTAAGGCGTGCGTTCTCGTCCATGAGCGATCTTCGATCTCCATGGAGACCAATGTTCTCCTTCTCCAGTTCTTGAATCCGTGCGCAAGCGCATTCCAACACCTGCACCTTGATCATGCGCCCGTCTAGCCGACCACCCAGGCAGGCTTTGAGCTTCTGGAATGACACAGTCAGGTCCGCCTGCCGCTTCTGCTCGGACCTCATACGCTTCTGCTTGCTCTCGTCTAAGCGAGTCTCGTAGGTGGCATCGCCAAACTCGGCGCGCCTGCGGACCAACCCTGTTTTGCCAGCAGAAGCGCCAGCAGCTGTTGGGGAAGGGGTAGAACTAGTAGCCATGCGCTGCAGCGAAGTCGCGCGCGAGTGGGTGCCGGGAACGGAGTGCGTGCTGGTCGAAGCAACTGAAGCCAGCGTAGAAGAGCGAGAGCGCAGCGGTTCGGATATCGACGTAGACACGGCAGGGCTCATCGAATCATCGAACACTGCAGCATCTCTTTTTGTCGGTGAACGAAGTGACCAGTCGAACGAGGCATCGGCCGAGTCAGGGCCGAACGATGTCCGGGGGTATGGCAGAGAATCGGTTGCACAAGATTCTAGTGTCGATGTTGAGGCCCCGACCTGTGAGCGCGCTATCAAGCTCGACTCAGTGTCATGGTGTTGTGCACCGGTCGGGTCGAGTACGAGGGCAGTCGGTGGAGACGCTGTTCTACCTCCTTGAAAGTGCTGTCTCTTGGAACGGCGGAGGGGCATCAGGATGTCCTGTTGCTCAGCATGTTGCCCAGGCATTAAGTCTGACTGCCCTGCCCACGACTGGCCATGATGGGGCGAGGAAAGCGTGCCACTTTTCTGCGGTGAAGCACGGGGTTGGGCCGCAGCAGGCATGATCATGTTCTGCTGCCCATGCAAAGGCTTGGTGGGAGAGCCGCGCACAGCGAACGCAGCGATGCTTTCCACCTTTCGTCGCTCGGACCCCATGTTGAGGCCACCACTATGTACGCTGGAGAACGAGGCGTGCTTGGAATGCGAGCGGGACCAAGAGGTGGCTGCGCTACCTGGTGTACCCACGCTCGTTGTCGAGGTGGAGCTGTCGCCGAAGATGAGCGAGTTGGACAGATCATCGGCCCATGACAAGTCATCACGTGAGCTTTCGTTGAACAGACTGTTGGCCAAAGAGCCGCTCTGAGAGGACATGCTCAGGTCCTGGAACATGTCTGGGACAGAGTGATCACGATCCGATTGCTGAGAAGAGTCATAGCGAGGAGCGACGGTCGATAAGCTGGACGAAGAGCTTTGGTAGAACGCCTGAGTTGATGTGACCATGTCTTGCATGGCTGCGTGGGCATCTCGTCTTGCCTCAACGAGTTCCGCAGATCGTTGCTGCGGTTGCTGGAGCAGCTCTTGGGAAGAAGTGTGCGCACCGCTCATGAAAGCACTAACAAAGTCGGATAAAGGCAATGGGTTCTTGCTCTCTTTAAGCAGCCGAGCATAAGCCGCAGCAGCTTGCTGAACCATGTCGTTGGCGACGGCTCCGTCGGCAGCGACCGTGCTCGACTCTGAAGTCAACGTGAGGATGCGCCCATTTTGACCTTGGATTTGGCCTTGCTTTGTCGCAGCTGCAGATGACTCGCCTTCCCCATCTGAGGGCATGTCCGTTTCGCCATTCATAGTGCGTACAGAGGTGACACGCGAGCCGTTGCGTCCCAACCCCGTACTCGATTCATCTGGAGGGCACGAGGCAAGACTGGCAGATTGTCAGCTGCCCGATAGGTGGGACGAACAAGGTCTTCCGCTCGTCTCTCCATGAACTCTTCGCAGCTTTTCATGCAGCCATGTGTACAGACGAATGATATCCAGTAGCTGATACCCATGCCTCGAGCAATGCACTCACCCAATCAATAAGCGCTATCCGGTACACAGAGGTCCTTTTTGCTGCTGGCAAACCCGCTCAACCCTGTTTAGCCCCGAGTGAGCCAGGCCGATGAGCCTTGTCGTAACTTATCGTCAAAAATTGCCTGCCGGGACAGTGGAGTCGAATGGCTCGCACAAAGGGTTCTTATTTGCGTGCAGACGTGACAGTGTCACCTGATCTTCTTGTGTCTCCGGCCAAGTGCGGTGCGGGCAAGCTGCGGAGTCAGATACCTCGCGGAGAACCTGCTCCCGATACCGATGGCATGACGAATAAGGTGTATTGATAGCAGCTCCCGGACAAGGAAAAATATATGCAAGCTTTTCCTCACGTCGAAGGAAAGCAGGCTTCCTTTTGATCGGGTTTGGTCTCTCGAGCTCGACTATACTCTCTCATACATAAGCCTTGCATTGTACTTTTGCAATTGGCTGGGCCACTTCTTCTGACGGCTTTTTGGTTGCAGAGGCGGTGTTCCGCGCATAAGCCAGCGCGACAGACTGATCTGAGCCAGAACAGATTTGATTGCGACAAGACAAACGGCCGTGGATCAATCGCAGTCAATCAAGACATGCATGCCGCACCAGGCCTCAGGCGAGCGGAGCTGGCTTCAGCTTTTTCGCGGCAGGAACCACGGGAAGCGGCCGCCTTTCCTCGGTGGTGTCTCTTCGGGATACGGACCACGAGTATGTATTGAATCTGGACGGGGGAAGGGAGAGAAGGTGACATGGTAATATGCATGCATGCATGGTGTGCACAAGTGCACACACACCCATTTACTATTCGTTTTCGCTTCATCGATATGCAGCAGCTTGCAGCGGAAGTTCATGCGAGTCCCATGCGTTCATCGTGGAAGTCAAAGTGTCTCGCATTCATCCGGAATCTGTATATACTATGTAGTACATCGAAAGCAAATAATACATTGCTGCCCCTCGGGTCACACCCTGCGGCCGAGTGCACTGTGGTCATTGCTCAGGACTACCCAGCCTAACGCACTAGAGGGTTCCTAGAAACGGAAAGAGACCATCTTACTCATCATTGTGCCATTCATTTTTCATTTCTTTTCGACCGAGACGACGAGTTGCCGCGTGTGTACATGCATGGTGCCACTTTGATAGGGGATGCCGGATGAGGCTGGTGCATTGATGAACCACTGCTGAATGTATCAACGTATTCTAGCAATTAGAAACTCCTCGGCAAGTCAGTCTATGTACCTTGGTGCGAGCGATCGGACTGACTCTGCGAAGTGCCAGTCATACAAATTGGTCGCAACAGGTCCCGTTGCGGCAGCGTCGCACGAGCCTCGATTGGAAGAATTGATTCGCGACTCCAACAACCATTTCAAATTCGTCCATGACGTCGTGGAGAAGAGTGAGCATTAGCAAACTGATCAGGATCCATGCATCATGCGGTGGTAAGGTGGTTTGTCATGGTTTGACGTTTTCGCATTGGACGGCTGTTGCTTGGCGCAAATAGAGGGTTGCGTGGTGCGACTATGATGGCACTTTGGAGGAGTCTTCAGCCCGTTCCGCTCGAACTTTTGGAGGCCCGTCTGAGTGTTGCCCCAGCAAACCTTTGCGCTTTTGGGTTCACCCCATCCCACACCTCAACTTCCCTGCCTTCTCCTTGTGCAAGGTGCCCATTGCCTCGTTGGGGGTTGCAATTCAAGACAGCCCCCGTCTCCGTCTTTCGTTTCGCGCATGTAATTTGGACGGCTTGGCAATATCTTTCTCGGACAATCTGGTAGCGACGCGAGTATATTGACCATTCATTCTATTCCTTGATCCCAAAGCCGCACGTCTGTGAAGTTCCCGATTTCTACAGGGTTTCAAAGCTCGAAATTGTGGCGTGGGCGCTTCCGTCCGGGGCTCAGGGTCCTGGATTGCTCATCACAGAGCTCTTGCAGGTTGTCGCCGGGCTACCGCCCGACTTCATGTATAGTATGAGTAGTCTGGGCGATGTGACCACACTGTGCCAAAATGAATAGACCACACCATCACACCTCGGCGTGGGTCGCTCTATGTCGGCCCTGCTCATAATCAAAGCCCACCGTGGCTGCTCATAGTGCCAGGTGCCACCAAAGCCTACAACCTCCACGACTTACAGTCCTCATCGCCTCATCACGGTGCCACAATAGGTGGCGGAGGGTGTTAGATATTGAACTTGAGAAGACTGTCACAAGTCGCAACGCATTTATTCATACGTATATACATCCATGCAAGCGAAGTGTGCAAGTTGTCTGTTGTCGGTCTTGGACGCTTGGGCGATGTGATGATGCAATGCATGCGTATGTAGGTTGCTCTGATGAGCGAATAACAGGCTAGATCTGGAAGGACGTCGCGCCTACCTCTTTGTGAACCGTGAAGGTGTCGTGATCCGTCGCCCAGACTCATGCATACAAGGTGCCTCTATTGAAGAGCAGGCAGATTCTCGAGTAGATACTAGTGGATACAGAGCTGCTTGAAAAGACAGTCAGACGGTCAAGCTTGGACCACTCTAAATGCACTCGCATCACAGTCTCATTGCACATGAGTAACGAGACATGCATACGATGCATAGGCTCCGGCCCTTTCCTTACTCGGCAGACCTCCGCACTTCGGACCGGATGTCGTTCCCATCTCGCGATGTTTGCTTCGCAAATTCCCTCGGCTTTCTCTTATTTACACATGAACCCCTCTTCATGCGGTTTCTGTTTCTTTCATTCACGAGGTGTAAGTAATTCAGTGCAGACCTCAGGCCAGTGTATTACATAGTGTCAAGGCCTCTGCAATTGGTTCAACCTGCTGCGGAGAAGAACCCCATGGACGACCCGGTCCACCCCGGTGGAAAAGCGACGGAGTAAATTGGTCAACCATGATACAAAGTCTCGTTCGCACCGACGAAGTGTGGACAGCCAACATGCCCTGCATCACGTAGCTATACGGTGGCGCAGCAGTGCAGGCAGCTCAGCAGACCAAAAGGTAAACCTTAGAGGCGAGACAGGAAGCCGAAGAGAGTCAAGATTAGTTTTTGCACCGAACTGACCTAACTGAGTGCAGAGTGCTGTCTCGACTCCCACGCGTGGTCTTTGGCTCTGCGCCATTTCGCCCGCACTCCGGACGAAGTTGAGTACCCGTTACAGCCTACTATCAATGCAGTCCACAGAGAGTCTGCAGTTGCAAGCGAGGTGTTTGATGCATCGCGCATGCATTTGGCCTCCTCTTCTCTAGAGCCTTGTGCGACCATCGGCCGGGCGATGAAATGAGTCTGGTCCACGATTTCGACTCGAAAGCCGTGCTGTGAATCGATCTACCTTCCGATCAGTCGGCGTGTCAATGGCAGCTACATGGCAGAAAAAGATGCTGCGTCGGCTATTCTCGTTTTCCAAAGCACGCGGTGTTTACCCCGTCGAGCGCTGCTTTTTTTGCCAGACGTCATCTCTAGTAGTGCCGGCCAACAGCAAGCTCGTTGCTGGCATTGGCTTGCAGCTCAAGTCCAAGTCTGACACCCCGCCCGCAGTCAGCGCCGGCACACCCGACGCGTGGTTCTGCTCGGCATGCGAGTGCTGGAATGGCGTTGAAGCGCTCGGAAACATCGCACATCAGAACGGCTCCTCTTCCAGTTCGTCAAAGCCTCGCAAATTTGCCTTTGCTCCAGCGCAACTCGCGAAGGGGGCAGCTGCTTCTCCTCCCTCGTCACGATCATCAGACTCGGCGTCAGCAACGGCAAGTTCCTCGCCGTTCTGCCGCGCTTGCCACCGCAACCAGACACTCATTCTACATTTACTTTCCAACTACCTACCCGAGAACGCTAGCCAAGGGCCTCAAGACGATGAAGAAGACGAGAAAGATACCCGACTCATGTCCCAACTACCAGCCTACCGTACCACGCTCGAGGCGCGCTATCCGCCACTTTGCGAAGCGTGTGCGCAAGTGGCAGAGGACCGCATATTGGAGGCCGATCAAGATGCGCGTAAACGTTTGATGAGCGGCTGGTTCGAGCGAAGCGGTGCGCGCAAGCGCTCGCTCCTATCCACGATGAGCGGGAATGGCGTCGAGGCTAAGGGCAAGGGTACATTGACGGGCCGCAACCCGAACAAAGCGGCGGATACCATTTTGCATGGGATCGAACGCACTGAGAGCGTATGGAAAATCAGAGGGGCTCTTTGGATTCTGACTCAGGGATGTTCCCTCTTACTTGCCTTGGCATCTTTCTCGGATCGAACGTCTACCCTTTCGAGGGAGGTGCGCAGGTGGAACGCCACAATTTTTTGGTTTCAAATCACTTCCATCCTATGGTCAGCTTGGGATCCGACGTGGAGAACGGGGATCGTCGAACGGCGACGGCCAGGCCGAACTCGTTCGGTCAGAGGGAGGGGCATCTGGGCTGTGAGTCACCAGTCATCTACAGTGAAGTCGATGGCATGTGCAGCGTACCCGCGTCCACGGACCTGACACATGAATTCCTCTGCGTTTTCAGCGCTCACAGATCTTCTGCTATCTACTGCGCTTGGTTCAGCTGCTTGTCCTATCTGAGAAGATGATGGGCACATCTCAGAACGCACTTGATTTCATCATAGAGTTCAGAAAGCACTTGAAAACGTCGTCCAGGCTAGGCAAGCACTTGCTTGAAGAAGGTTACGAACGAGGTTTTGCTGGTCCCCTTTACATCGGAGAGCAAACGGTCACCGCGAGATGGATGGCAGGCACAGCTGGTGGATTAGATGATACTCTGAGCTCCTCCAGTGGGTTCGAAACTCGATTCTCCTTGGGGATTGTTGTGTTACATTGTCTTGTGAGTACTTGGTCTGCCCTATCGGAAATACAGCGCTCTCTCTAAATGCATCTAGTTTGAACCTGGTCCTTATGCCCAGATCACCATCGCCGCCTTCTGCAACCTGAGGATCGAGCGTACCCCCGTCTTGAGTCTGGCTTCGCGGCGATTAGGTACGGTGTCCAGCGCCGAAGCGGATGCTGTCAGCAACGGAAGAGGCGAGGTAACTAATCGCCTAGCTGCAGCCTCGAGCCCAGTGGTCAAAACAGCCAACAGCGGCTTCGCGCACTGGAGCGGCACGCGCATGGCTCCGCATCAGCCAGCAACGCCTGCGCAACCAGCCCCCGTCTTCGGTGAATCGTCCCTCCCAGGAGCAGCATCGGTCGTTCAGGATTCATGGGCGCAGTATCCTTCGCCCCGTGTACCCGCATCGGACAATGGCGAAGCAGAGCCAGACGAGATGGACTGGCAAGCAGAGCACCCCGGCCTCATGTCTGGCGGTTCGAGGACTGTGGATTTGCAGCACGCGCATGCGCCAGCAACGCCACCGTCCTACATCGCCCCTCAGCGTTACTTTGCGCCCGAGACGCCGACAGGACTCGAATATCTGTTCGGGACTGCTCTCGCCATCGACGCTGCCAGCGCCTCATCTGCGTTTGGACTCGTGCAGGGACGGCATCAGCGCTGGACACATCTGATCAAGAATGTTGTGATAACGAGCTTGCTGAGTGCTTGCATGGTCATGCTCGTAGGATCATTTGCTTGGGCCGTTCAGCGTGCTATCGCGGCCATGTAAGTTGACGCTGGCTACTGCGACCCACATGCTCCACTCTCAGCTCTGATGAATGGTTGCTCAATCGGCTAGATGATCTTGTTGGCCAATTTTGGCAAGTGGCTCATCCACGCTTTGGTGTTGCTGACCACGTGACCAACACCATCAGCTCGTGTTGCGCGTCATGCTTGGCGGACGTAGTCAGCAGGACCAAAGCTGAATTGGCCCTCCTTGTCAAGCACTCGAGCTTGCTCAACAAGGCCACATGGCCGACAGGGACCGAAGTTAGATGCACCAGGGCAGCGTAGTGTCCCTCGCCAAGGATGTGCAAAGTACAGACACAATTCAGGGACGTGACAGTATCCGCAGCTTTGGAACTGACCCGATGTTAAAATAAGGATGCTGCAACACCCCCCTCCTATTCCGCAATCAATTCTAACTCTACTTGCTGCTTGGCGGCTCATCCGGACCGAGCATCAGCTCCGGCCTGACCTTCTGGTCGAACTCCTCCGGCGACAAGAAGCCCAACTGCACCGTGGCATCCTTGAGCGTGAGACCCTCCTTGTGTGCCTTCTTGGCGGCCTTTGCCACGTTGTCGTAGCCTAGATGCGAGTTGAGGATGGTCGCCAACATGAGGGATTCACGCAGGATCTGGTCGATCTTTTCGCGGTTTGCCTCGATGCCGACGACACAGTTCTTGGTAAAGCTCCTTGCGCCGTCTGCAAGTAGACGGATGCTCTGCAGCAGGTTCTTGACCAGCACCGGCTTGAAGACGTTCAGCTCGAACTGGCCATAGCTGCCGGCGACGCTGATGGTCGTGTTGTTGCCCATGACTTGTGCGGCGACCATGGTCAACGCCTCGCATTGTGTCGGATTGACCTTGCCCGGCATGATGGAGCTGCCCGGTTCATTCTCCGGCAGGCTCAGCTCACCGAGACCACAGCGCGGCCCAGACCCGAGGTAGCGAATGTCGTTCGCGATCTTCATCAAGGACACCGCGATAGTGTTTAAGGCGCCAGAAGCCTCAACGATCGCGTCGTGCGCGGCAAGCGCCTCAAACTTGTTGGGCGCCGTCTCAAACGGAACATCGGTGATCTTGCTGATCTCGGCCGCAACTTTGCTATCGAAGCCCTTGAACGTGTTAAGGCCCGTGCCAACGGCTGTGCCACCCTGTGCGAGCATGCTGAGACGGGGCAGGACATCCTTGACACGCTCGATGCCGTTCTCGACCTGCTTAACGTAACCACTGAACTCCTGGCCGAGAGTCAGAGGCGTCGCATCTTGCAGGTGCGTGCGACCAATCTTGATGATGTCGTCAAACTCGGCACGCTTCTTGTCCAGCGCAGCGTGAAGCTCCTCGAGCGCCGGGATGAGGTTCTTGCGGATCTGCAGGACCGATGCGACGTGCATAGCAGTGGGGAACGTGTCGTTCGAGGACTGGCTCATGTTGACGTGGTCGTTGGGGTGGACAGGCTTCTTGCTCCCGAGCTCGCCTCCGAGGATCTCAATGGCGCGGTTAGAGATGACTTCGTTGACGTTCATGTTTGTCTGGGTTCCCGAACCAGTCTGGAAGACAACAAGCGGGAAGTGGTCGTGCAGCTTGCCGCTGATGACTTCATCTGCTGCCAGGCCAATCGCATCAGCTACTTTGGCATCAAGGCCGAAGGTCCGGTTGACGTTGGCGGCAGCCTTCTTGAGCACTCCGAATGCCTCGATCAAAGGTGCCGGCATGCGCTCTTGCGGGCCGCCAATGTCAAAGTTCTGCAGCGAGCGCTGCGTCTGCGCGCCCCAGTAGCGGTCGGCCGGGACCTGCAAGTCACCGAAAGTATCCCGCTCTTGACGGAATTTCTGGGCCTAGAAGGGTATCTCCTTGGTCAAACTCGCACTGACTTGACATGAAGATGTGCCAACTCACCATGGTTGCGGAGACAGAGAGTGCACGAGAGGGAACGGCGATGCGTCTTGCTGCGAAGGGAGCAGCTGAGACGCGCGATACGGTAGGCGCCTGGTAAAGTCGATGAGGATGCGGGGACAAGATGGGTCAGCCCCTGCAAACGGTCGAAGCTGGCCAATCCGGTTCCCAATGGGGATGGTGCTGCGTGCGATCGCGGGGAAAACTCGTAGAAATCTGGTGGGTAGGTCTTGTACGGAGTAAGGTGCATGTACTCCTATCCGTAAGATGCTTGTAATGGGAAGAGATAAACATGCCTCTGGGGTGTTTGTGGAGTAGGCTGGAGTTGGCGCAGCCAGCCGCTTTGTTGCGCGCTCCTCTCCCACGGCCCTCTCCTCCATATCCGAGGAGTCATCTCCACTGCTGCCCTACGTAAATCTATCAAATCGTACTCACTTGAGCGACGAGCGGCCAACGCATCATTTTGGAAATATGAAGAGCAACAAATCTGCACAGCACAGGGAACGGCGAGGGCTCTCGGAATATACTTGATGCAACGGATAGCGATGCGAGTTGTAGCATGACAAGATGTGTATCGTCCAGAAGTTTCGGACAAGTGTTGCATACTCCATTCTCTATTCGCCCATAACCCACAGCTATTGGCGGCGAATTTCGCCCTCAGATTTTCGGAAAGCACCGGCAGGCACTCGCCGCCGGGGCCAAACGGGTGCCGACGCGGAGAGGTGTTTAGCAACCCTAAACCTAACTGCATGCCTCATCCCGACCGAGAAGTCTTACCGGAACTCGGAACTCGTATCAATTGCTCACCTAGAATTTTTCCATCAGCCGTGCAGCCTGCTGCTCCATCTTGTCGCCATCAACCCCTCCCATTACGGCTTTGTGTACTGTGTGCGCTTTGCCCTTGATATCTGCTCACCAGGTATTCCAACCCTTTCGATTGTACGCAAGCAGATTCCTGGAATACAGCGCAACGATGGCGAAAATCAAGAAGAAGGGCACGTCCGGTGCGGCGAAGAACTACATCACTCGCACGCAAGCCGTCAAAAAGCTGCAGCTCTCTCTCTCCGACTTTCGACGTCTCTGCATCCTTAAGGGCATCTTCCCCCGGCAGCCACGCCACGTGAAGCGGGCCAACAAAGGGAACAATGCTCCAGCTTCGTTCTACTATGCAAAAGACATTCAATTCCTCCAGCACGAGCCTGTACTCCAGACCCTGCGCCAGCACAAGGCATTCGCGAAAAAGCTGAGCAAAGCGATCGGCAAGCAGGAGTGGTCGCTCGCCAAGAGCTTGCAGGAGAACCATCAACCAGTCGTGCGACTGGACCACATCATCAAACAGCGCTACCCGACATTTACAGACTCGCTGCGAGACGTCGACGATGCACTCTGCTTGCTCAACCTCTTCGCTCACTTGCCCGTTAACAACGGCGACCGCGGCAAGAGCCTCGTCAATCACAAAGTCATCGCCAATTGTGCCACGCTTTGCGCGCAGTGGCAAGTCTACCTTATGCGCACGCGCTCTCTGCGCAAGATCTTCCTTAGCATCAAGGGAGTCTATTTCCAAGCCGAGATCCGTGGCCAGCAGATCACTTGGCTCGTACCGTACCTCTTCACGCAGCACATCCCCGACGATGTCGACTTCAGGATCATGCTCACCTTCCTCGAACTCTACCAGACGCTCATCGGATTCGTGATGTACAAGCTCTACACTGACGATAATCTTGTCTACCCGCCGCACCTGGACGTGGAGAAGGACGATGCCGGCGCGGGTGTCGGGGCCATCACGCTAAGCGAGAAGAGCGCGGACGTGCTGGCAGGCAGGAACGAGACGGCCGCCGAAAGCAGCGAGGCGGAGATGCAGGAGCAGAAGCAGACTGAAGCCGCAACTGCCGCGGTAAACGGGAGAAAAGTTTCGGCAAAGGACGTCAAGAAGCAGATTAAGGCTATCACGCGGAGCGGTGGTGCGGGAGTGCAGGAGGACAATGAGATGGTGGATAACGCGGCGGCGACAGTGGATGGGACAGCGAGTGGGAACGCAGCAGACTCGGACAAATTCCAGCAAGCATCATCGAGCAAGGTCTCAACAGCAGAGGACGCGTCGTCAGCACCCCTGATGACACTTGCCGAGCTTGAATCGTCTTCTTCCTCAACCTCCTCCTCTTTCAACATCTTTGCTCCGTACTACTTTTTTATCTCGCGCGAGTGCCCACGGGCGCTGCTTGAGTTTGTCTTGCGATGCTTTGGCGCGTCGTCCGAGCGCATCGGCTGGGACCTCGTCGCGGGTACCGGCTTTGCACTCTCCGAGGACGACCCGCGCATTACGCACCACTTCGTCGACCGGCCCGTTCCCGTCGGTGCAGAGGGCAAATCCATGTACGACGGCTCGCGGCACCCGGGCTCCAAGAGGGTGTATGTGCAGCCCCAGTGGCTGATCGACAGCGCAAACGCACGCAAGCTCCTGCCGACCGAGCCGTATGCGCCAGGCAAGACGCTGCCACCGCATCTGAGTCCATTCGTCGATGAAGAAGCGGTCAGGAGGAAAGGTGGGTATGTGCCCGAAGCTGCGCAAGTCAGCGGGTCGAAGGATGCATCGGCAAACGACAGTGCAGTTGAAAATAGCTCTGACGAAGAGGGAGATAACGAAGAACAAAGTGCCGATGTTGCGGACGTGGCACAGGATGCCGCTCGACCGGCACTCGCTGCGCTACTGCAAGATCCAAAGGACGGCATGCTTCTCGAGTCCGCCGAGCTCGAAGCTGAAGCGGCTGGTGGGGAGGAGGAAGTGGAGCGCGTTCGACGGCTGCAAGCAGCTGCGTGCAAGTCCTCCAAGACATCCTCGGCGATCAAGACAGCAGCATCGACGGGTGATGTGGAAGCGCAGGAGGAGAAGGAAGCAAAGGAGATGGCGCGTATGCTCATGTCGAACCGCCAGCGCAAGTTGTACAACAAGGTCAGCTACAGCCAGGGCAAGAAGGGCGAGGAGAAGAGGCGGCTCGAGGAGAAGAAGGCCAAGATCGTCAAGGATGAAAAGAAGGCGAGAAAGGCCGGAAAAGGCAAGTGATCGTTGACGCTCGCAGGTGTGCAGCGGAGACGTCGCGCATGGCAACATTGTATGATAGGAGTGACATTTAATTGCAGTTCTTTGCTCCTTGCGGTGTATTGCGGGTTCAGCGGGTTGGCTGCTTGACAAATGATGGTCCTTTGCAGCTACGAACCTCACATGGCAGCATCTTGCGATCCATACGATGGGCGAACTTTTGCGATTCGTGGCCGAGGGCCGCAGCTCCGCACAGGTTAGATGATGACTCGAGCTCATGGACCTTTTTCATCGTCATCCTTCAGCTTGTTCTGTTCGAAGCAATTGGCAATTGCCTAGTCGCAGCGCCTTGTCCTTTGGCCGTTTCTTGTACGCGTCCTACGCAACCAGGAAGAACCCTTCTGTTGCCCGTCGTGTGCACTTGCGTTGTAGGTACGTCCAGGTGCGGCCAGCCTCTAGCGGCATTGACTGAGCCGGCTGAGCGAGACGAGGCAATCGCGGATTTAGCGACTCGGATGGCGCAATCAATGAAATGAATGAGGCATTCTGCACGGGAATCGCGGTGGTGCGGAATAGTCTCAGACAATGGTAGAATAGCCTTGTTTCACACGCGGCGCTGCTCGCTCGCCCGCCTCACCCGCATTGTCCGGCTGGCTGGGTGTCATCGATCGCCAGTTGAAGTGAGCAGAATCAAGTTGATCTCTCTTCCCCTCTAGTCCTCGGTGACCGGCGTCGCGTCCGTTGGTTGGCTGCCTGGCTGGCCCGATCCATCCTCCCCCTTCGATCCCTACGTTTATATACTACGGACATCTTCTCCCGCACCATCTCTTTGCCGTTGATCTTGCCAACCACCATCCACGACTCGTGCGAGTTTGTATACAACAGAGGAGACCGCACGCCTGCAAGTTTGCGCAGCAGCAAGAGCACCAGGCATCAAAGCTGGAAACAACAAGGAACCAAACATCGCTCCCCAAATCGACACCAATCCATCATGGGTTTCTCCAGCGATGTCGAGCAGCATGCTTTCGACGAGGAGGTTATGCAGGTCGAGGAGTGGTGGAAAGTAAGCATGCTAGCCAATGATGCTCCAGACCGTGCAGCGTCCAGGCCTGCGCGTGTCTAGTATCAATAATGGTTACCTGCGTGTTTGATGTCTGACTCTGGATGAATGCCATTCTCTCTGCGACAGTCGCCACGCTTTGCTCGCACCACGCGCCCCTACACTGCACAGCAGGTCGTCTCCAAGCGCGGCACACTCAAGCTGACCTACCCGTCAGGTGAAATGGCCAAGAAACTTTGGAAGACGCTCGAGAACCACGCATCGCAGGGCACTACGTCTCATACCTATGGAGCTCTCGACCCTGTGCAGGTTACGCAGATGGCCAAGCACCTCGAGACTGTGTACGTCTCCGGATGGCAATCGAGCTCTACTGCGAGCAGTACCAACGAACCTGGTCCCGATTTGGCTGGTGAGTGTCTGCACGCCAAGCATTGCTTGAAAGAGGTCTGAAAAGTGCATTTCAAATCTGTTCCTCTGGGTGTAGACTACCCATACAACACTGTTCCCCAAAAAGTCGAGCACCTTTTCATGGCACAGCTCTTCCACGACCGCAAGCAGCGCGAAGCACGAGCCAACATGTCACCCGATCAGCGCTCTAAAACTCCTTATATCGATTACCTGCGCCCCATTGTCGCGGACGCCGACACGGGTCACGGAGGTCTGACTGCTGTCATGAAGCTCACCAAGCTATTTGTCGAGAAGGGCGCTGCTGGTATCCACATCGAGGACCAGGCACCAGGCACCAAGAAATGTGGTCATATGGCCGGTAAGGTGCTTGTACCCATCAGCGAGCACATCAACCGCTTGATTGCCATTCGCCTGCAGTTTGACATCATGGGTGTCGATAACCTTTGCGTCGCACGTACCGATTCGGAGGCGGCTACGCTCATCACTACCAACGTTGACGAGCGCGACCACTCCTTTATTCTGGGCAGCACCAACCCCAATCTCGAGCCACTCGTCGACGTGATGAACCGCGCAGAGCGCGAGGGCAAGACTGGTGACGCACTCCAGAAGATCGAGGATAATTGGAGCGCGCAGGCGGGTCTGAAGCTCTTCACAGATGCCGTCGCCGATGCGATCCGCAAGAATGGTGACAGCGGCAAGGCGGAGCAGTTCATCAAGGAGGCTCAATATAGCGCAAACCACAAGGCTCGCGCTCTGGCGGCCAAGTACGGCGTCAGCGAGAAGAGCGGCTTCTTCTGGGACTGGGACGCGCCACGCACGCGCGAGGGATACTACCGCTACCAGGGCGGCACGCAGTGCGCCATCAACCGTGCGATTGCGTTTGCACCGTACTGCGACCTGATCTGGATGGAGACTAAGAGCCCGATCTACACGCAGGCCAAGGAGTTTGCTGATGGCGTGCGCGCCAAGGTGCCTGGCCAGTGGCTCGCGTACAACCTCTCACCGTCATTCAACTGGGACGCAGCGGGCCTCAGCACAGACAAGATGCAAAGCTACGTCTGGGACCTGGCCAAGCTCGGCTTCGTCTGGCAGTTCATCACGCTTGCCGGTCTGCATTCGAACGCATACATCTCGGATCACTTCGCCAAGGCGTTCGCCAAGGAAGGCATGAAGGCGTACGTAGAGCTTGTGCAGCGCAAGGAGCGGGATATTGGATGCGACGTCCTCACGCACCAAAAGTGGTCCGGTGCCGAGTACGTCGACTCGCTCCTCAAGACGGTCACCGGCGGCGTCTCGTCCACTGCAGCCATGGGCGGCTATAACTCGGAGTCGCAGTTTGTCAGCAAGCATTGAGAGCAGAGGGGATGAGATTCGAACCGTACTCGACGCAATCACTCGCCCTTCTTCCATCACTCCTTCGCTTTCTTCCACCGTTTGCGCCACCAAATGCAGGACGGAGCGGCCCATAACAGTAGTACTTTGCACAGCCAATGTGCTTTCTAGTTCTTTTGTATTAAAAGGAGCGTCAAGGCGATCCATTATGTAGTCCTCGTCTCGGCTGAGGATGTGTCTTTGGCAGTGACCCTAGTCACACCATGAAGAATGCGAGAGAGCGACGGAGTGGGCGGTGGGAGGCATAGCCTGGTCATTGGAATATGGCTTGGCTGAGCGTGGCGTTTGCGTTTGTGCGAGCGATGGAAGAGTGATGCAGTGCCTGTGGCTGTTCGTCTCCACACAGCACCCAGTCGGTGGACAGGACGGGCGTGCATCAGTGTGGCATTGCAGCATGAGAAATAGACGCATGGTGACGACGCTACTTGAGGGAGGGCTGGCTACACATACACGGATGGATGGACAAGATGCCGTGTCCATCCCGTGCCCCAAGCAGACATTGCTTGTCGGTGCAGCGTGCAGCGTCAACAACAAGATCCTGCAGCTGTCGTCGAGACGATCGTCTGGCGATAGATCGCTATTGGACCCACAGCTGCGGCAACGACCATCGCTCACCCGTTACGAGTGAACATGAGCGCCAGGAGGGCTACGTGTTCGGCTCGGTAACGCAACACGCCTGGTCGTTCGACAAAGTTTCCGGAGCATAAGAGGAATCTAGACGAATCCCATCGACATTCGGTACGGTCCGGCAAAGTCACCTGCCGTCAAGCCCTACTAAAGATGCTCCGCGCACTCTTCTACTATGTCCTCGGAGGCATCACCTTTCTCCCACTCTGCCTTGTCGCCGGCTTTCTCTACTTTATCCTGACCTGTCCGCCAGTTGAGCAGGATGGGCAGCCTTTGCGTGCGTCAAAGGCGGCGGAAGGGGCACCGGGGCCACTGGGCGATGTCGACCTCTCACCCGAGCGCAAGGCCGAAGCCCTCGATCTCGCCGTGGCAGCGGCAGCGAACGCCTCCTCTGCTGCCGGTACAGAAGAATCAAATACAGCTTATGGCGCAGACACTGCCGTTGTCGGTGGAGTCGATATACCCACAGCTGCCAAGCGCCTGCTACCATTGCGCACCGACAAGCCTGGAACTTCGGCATCGGCTGCGGCGCCAGTATCGAGCAAGAATTTCCGATCCGGCTGGCTCATCGTCCGAAAGCAATTTCACCCGCCTGGCTCGGCTGAAGCAGTGCCACATTCTACACATACAGAAGGTATCAGTGATGTTGGCGATGGTGGCTCTAGCACTGGTGGTGCCGCGGGAGACTCGGGATCGTTAGGCAAGAGCAAAGGCGGCTACATGAGCGCGGTCTACCGTGGTCTCCTCGACTATCGGAAGAACCAGGCTGGTGGTAACCAAATGAACGGTCAGTCAGGATCAGATCCCGAGGCCGAGCAGCAGGCGCCATCCAACAACCTCCCCGGAGGCCTCGAAGCCCTCAAGAGCGACGGCAACACCAAGAACGGGAAGCCGGACCGTGCAGGTGTGGGCCGCAACCAAGCTGCAAAAGAGCAGTTTCACGCGATCCTCAAAGGACCCATCCTGTATCTCTACTCGGCGGATGAGTCGTCGCCCAATGCGACAAACGAGGTGCAAGCTGCCATTGACGTGCGAGGCAAGCGTGTCAGTATCTACATCGCAGGCCTCGGCGACGTACAGGGAGAGCCGAGCGAGGAGGGCTTTGAGAGTATGAAACTGGGGAACGGAAGCTCTGCAACGGTTGACAGTGGTGGCGACGGTAGCCTCGACCAAGATCCGGACGCGTCAGCAGTTGCAGCGGCGGCTACTACGACCGAGGAGGCAGAGGCTGCAGCGGCTGCTTTGGCAAAGGCGAAGCGGCACGAGGCTGTCGTCGCCAAATGGAAGGCTGTCGCTGCGAACGTCCGTGATGGCGAACTGTTCATGAAGCGCAATGCTGTGCGCATCGTTGGAAAACTTCCACCAGCGCTTTCGACGAAGTTGACCAAGGGGCACGTCAAGGCGTTGGATTTTACCGAGTGGTTCATCTTTGCCAAGTCGGCCACACTGCTCGAAGATTGGTACCATGCGCTGCTGCATGCTTCCCTTCTTCCGCTTCCAGATCACAGTGCTCCAGGCGCTTGGAAAGGCGCCGACAAGAGCAACATGGCTCCCTTCCAGGCGACCACCGACCCCGTCGGCCCGCTCTTCTCGACCATGGACATGTCGGCGCTGCTCGCGTCGCTCGACACGGTCCCCGACCCGATCCCCCTGCGCTGGCTCAACGCGATGCTCGGCCGGGTCTTCTTCAGCATCTACCGGACCGCCTGGCTGGAGGACTACGTGACGAACAAGCTCATGAAGAAGATCAGCCGCGTCAAAACGCCAAGCTTCCTCAGCGACGTCAGGGTGCGCGAGGTCGATCTCGGCAGGACGCCGCCTGCGTTCAGCAGGCCGATGCTCAAGAGTTTGACGGGCGAAGGAGAGGCTAGCATGGAGGTGAGCCGCTGCGCTTGCTTGGCTTGCGCGCATGCAGACAGCTGAATTGTAGACTCTCGCATCGAATTGCAGGTGACGCTGCATTACACTGGCTCGCTGCGGCTGACCATCTCGACCAATCTCACCATTTCTCTCGGTTCGCGCTTCAAATCCTATACCGTCTCGCTTCTCCTTGCCGTTGTACTGCGCTCCCTCGAAGGAAACTTGCTCCTGCACATCAAGCCGCCGCCGAGCAACCGGCTCTGGTTCGGCTTCACGCAGCCACCCAAGATGGACCTCGCCATTGAACCGGTGGTCAGCGAGCGCAAGGTTCAGTGGTCCATGGTCACGAGGATCATCGAGAGCCGGATTAGAGAAATGGTAGGCCAAGACGCAAATTGGAGTGTACGCACACACGCTCGAGATCTTACTGACAGCCTGTACGTCCATTCTTGCCGCAGATGATGGAGTCGCTCGTCTTACCGCATATGGATGATGTCCCGTTCTTTGACACCCGACCCATGACGCAGCGCGGCGGCCTCTGGGCAGACGCGGTCAAGCGTGCGGATCAGACTGCTAGCTCAAGTTTCATGTTTGCAACTCCGAGCTGCGACAGCAGCAAGAGCCAATCGAGAAGACCCTCGGCGCCGCATGCGCCTCCGGTCCCTGAAGGTGCAGCTTCTTCGGAGGCAGAGGACGGAATTTCGTCCTCTGTCAACGTCAGTGCCGCCGCCGCTGATGACGAGCTAGCGCCTCGTATTCATCAATGTAGGCAGATTCCGCCCGGTCCTCCCGCACTGCCTACGAGTGCGTCTGCTAGCCTGAACTCCTTGCTTTCGAGGGACGCTGCAGCGGCTGCTGCGAGTGGAGCACAACAATTGCAAGCGATGAGCATCGGGTCAGACAGCCAGATAGGGACAGGCCCAGGCTCGACCGGCAAGCGAAAGACCTGGTTCGCCAGCTCGTCACGCTTAGCTGTTCCCTCTGGCTTCACGTCTGCCTCTGTTTCTGCCAGCCGCAAGACCTCTCAAAACGCGAGTCAACTTTCTGGCGGGACTTACTCCGGCAACCTTCCTTCTTCTTCCAATGCGCCACCTCTTCCCGAGCAGGTAGAGGCTGCGCATGATACCTCAGATACAGGAGCTTCTTCTGTCAAGTCCATGCCAATACAGCGAACATTTACACAAGGCACGCAGGGCGCCATCGAGCAAGGTTCTCGTGAATCGTCGCTCATTCTTAATGATTGGGACCCATCTACTGCGGCCGATGTGCCAAACATTCAAAGGACGACCTCTTCTGCCCAGATGGACGCTGTTGCGTCTGCGGTTGAACCGCAGGAAGATGAGTTGGTACCGATCATCCCACCGCGTCCGCAACAGGCAACCGAGCTGTCATACGGTCAGATAAACAAGAAGTGCGACATCTCAGATCAGGAGCGGACATCGCCCGCCTCGGCGCCATCGCAGCACGGTCACACTGCCAGCTTTGCGTGGAACGGCCCAAGTGTCATCCTTACTCCAGCGCAACAGGCTCGCTACGATGCTGCTAGGTTGTCGCAGCGCACGCAAAGTCTGAATGTGGGTGCGCTCGCGGGGCAGAATGTCAGTGGTGCGCTGCTGTCATCCTGGAACAAAGCAAGAGCAAGCCTTGCGGACAAGGAGAGCCGAACAGCGGCGGCGAAAGATGCCAAAGATGCCATGAAGCGAGGCTGGGCCAGCTTTCAGTCTCGCAGAATGGATGGCAAGAACAATGCGTTGAGTGCTGTAAATGCAAATGTCACCGCTGTCAACCAAACCTTGCACGAGCGAGGCTTGATGATGTCATCCGGTCGCTCAGAAACATATTCAACGTCGTCGGAGCCACTCAACAATTGGCTGGCCAGCAGTCCACCCGACCCGGTCAGCATGGCTATAGGCATCGACACCAATAAACCCGAGCGTGGGTCGACTAAGCGGAATAAACAAGCCGAGGCTGACGAGAGCTTCCGAGGCGATAGCCAGCATTACCCACGCACTGCCGTCATTCGCGATGAAGAGAGGGGGGGTAGAGATGCTGATCGTTCTGTCAGCGCATCTAGTTCGCGGTCGAGCTCCGTTAGTAAGCAGTCATATCGAGAGCACCGGGCAGAGCGGGCCTCCAACACCGTAACACCTACTACATCGGAAGCCCCGAAAGCACCCAGTCCTGTCACTGCGGTTCACCAACGAACTGGCTCATCAACCTCTCAAGATGTGCACACAGGCTCGCCGCCAGCGCGCGCATTTATCCCGGCTGCCCCTATTGCAACCACATCGGTAGCTTCTGGGATAGCTGTCGAGTTCGCAAAGTCCAATGACAAGGCTTCTGCCATTTCTCGGTCTGTTAAAACAATTACGGTCGAGGCAGACCAATCACCGCGGACGAAAGAGGCAAGCGGAAGTGGGCAGAAGCCGTCGTTGCCGCTCAAGGGAATCAAGGTGCAGCCGAAGCCCTCGGCCATGATGGCGATTCCAGGCATGTCAGCAGGTGCAAAAGCTGAACCACAATCGTTCAGTGCATCCCCGCCGCTCGGAACAAAGCGTGAGCCGGTCGAATCCCTAGAGTCACGCCTCTTCCCCCTTCCTGCAGAAAATTTCTCTCCTTCCGATGGGCCAACGCAATCTGCAGTGGGACAACCCGACGCGATGGTGGTCAGCGAGCCTGGCGTGTCCACGCCATCTGCAGCATCAGAACGGTCATTGACAGAAGGAGAGAGGACCGAGATTGTACAACCTGCTTCCGGGGCAATTGAAGTGCAGCCTCGTTCTCAGGTAGCGATCCTCGTGGCCCCGCAAACAGCAGTGAACCAAGTCAAAATGACCTTCGAAGATGATGCAAAACGCAAAGTTGTTGCCACAGCTGTGTCAAAGGATGGACTTATCTCGGGCGAGCACGGGGCAGATAATGACATCCGTGCGGCGTCCGGTATGGAAAAGGATGTGACTCCTTCAATTGAGGCGCCTTCGGACCCGCAACAACCCCTCATTGACTTTGTTACAGACGGAGACCCATGGCAGCTGGACGACCCGGCAGCTCAATGGTTTGGCTACCCAGCGCTGAAGGCAAATGCTCCCAATGTATCATAGAAATACTTCGAATAGCCCATTCAACACGTCTTCCGGTCGGTGCTCGTAAATTACTGGACAAATATGCAAGAGAGATACATTGGGGCTGCTAGATTAATCCTTTACATTGCTGAAGGCACCTTCTTCTTGGGTGATCCGTTTAAAATGCCGAGGCTCAGAACACCAGGTGGCTTTGCTGAGCGGGCTTGCCCGCGTTTGCTCGGAGTGAGATCGTTGTTGATCTTACGCTGCTGGGTGTATACGGTACCAGATGCTACACGTGCTAGCGGGTCTTCATCTTCTTCAACCGGACTGCTGCTGGCTTGCTCGCGAAGGCTGGACGCTGCGTAGCGTGGGCCTTGTGAGCCGCTGCTCGGACGCAAGACCGTAGCAGGCCACGCGGTCTTCGAGGCTGCAGGCGCCGGGGTGTCAACGTCAAAGTTGGCTGCGTTCGCGTTGCGCAGCACCGATTGAGGCGCCAAACCCAGGCTGCTTGTGAGTCCGAGATGCTGTGGCGAGGAAAATTGATCATCCCTGCGCGACGGGCGGCTTGCTGAGCCAAGAATGCCAAGCGAAGGCCTGACGACGCTCTTTCCCAACGCGTCAGTAGTAGCTTGCGATGTAGACTTGTGGAATGGCGTAAAAAACGAGCGAGAGTGTCCTTCCGCCACAGATGCTCCTGGCCGAACGGGCGAGATGTTGATGTCTTTGGGATCTAGTCGTGGCTTCTTGGAGGCGTCGCTCGTGACGCTGTTGGCCCGCTCCTCTTCTTCGATAGGACTTCGTTTCATGCTACCGATCGGGTCCGCAAACTCACGTGCAGGTGTAGCGACCAGCGGTGGCAGCTTTAAGTCAACGCCGAGTAGAGGCATCCGAAGTGGCAACAGGCCTGCGAGGGGCAGGTCCTGATTGGCGCCGCTTGGGGAGAGACCGGATGTGCGACGGGACAAGATGGGTGAGATCTTGTGCTGCTCAAGCGAAAATGGGTTCGCCCGAGGTGATGAAGCACGGTCGAACGTAAAGCGGGACGCAGACAGCGGAGCAGCAACCGTCGTTGTTGCGAGCTGCTGGCCCGCCGTCGGCTCCTGGTGCGATAGAGGCACGAGTGGCTCAAGCGACGAATGGCGCCTGGGTGATCCGCCGAAAGTGCTCTCCCCGGATGCTGGTCGGCTAGGTGCGGAGACCGAGTTAGACCGTGGGCTCATACCCGGGCGCCCTAGACGGTACTGCGCCTCCTTGCGCGGTCTCGCCGATGGCGAGCGGGTCGGGCTGTCACCCTGTGCATTGTTGCTATTCTGGCGCTCGGCGTGGGCACGCTCGTTAGCTGAGGTGGACTCCGAAGCCAAAGCCAGCAGCTGAGAAGCTGCCTCTTCAGCCGCTTCTTCGGTCTTTCCAGCTCGCGCTTTGCTATGAGGCGGCTCGATGTTGTTCTGATTCACCTGCTGAGAAAAGGGGTTCACATCCGACGAACGGGCCGAGCTTGCGGTAGCAGCAAAGCTGGGTGTCGCCATGTTGAGAATACCCGGTTTGGGATAGACACTCGTCGGCGGCTGCTGCTGTTGCTGAGAAAGATGGGTCGATTTTTCGCCCGAAGTAGGAGGCGAGAGCAGCGGCTTGTACTTGGATCCGTACATGCTGGCGAGCATCTTATGCTTGAGCGCGTGTAGGTCCTTTTCGGCGCTGCTAGGCCCCGTCGACGGCGGTGTCGGCTGCAGCATGGCAAAGTGCTGAATCGGTGTGACGTTCGGGTCAAGATGACGGATAGTGAATGAGACTGGTCCTTGAGCTGGAGGAAGGTCGAAGACATCAGGCTGATGATTTTTCTGTGGCCTGCCTGTGCCAACGCCGGCGATGCGGTCGGCGACAAGGCCAGGGGAAGCGTTAAAGTCTGAGCGTGCAGATGAATCAGGAGCAGCCCCACTAGCGTGGCGGAAGAAAGAGTCATCTGCTTGTTGTTGCACGCTTGCAATCGGTCTGCTGTCAAGTTGAGCTGATGACTTGTTCCCGCTTGCGCCAGCTCCATTCGTGGAGGGGCTGGCGACGGCGGCACTGGTGCCGAAGATGCGCGACCCGACGGAGAATGTCGGTTGTGTGACACTGGGCATCCCGCCTTCCGGCTCATCCATCATCTGGTCGAACTCATGCGCTGGCATCTCAGCCATGCGTTTTCGAATGGTATTGACATCTGCATCAGGAGGCAATCCGAGGGAGACAGCCTTGTCCTGCATGCGCTTCTTTCGCGCCCATCGCCTCTTGCTCTCGAGCATCCTTGCACGTCGTTCCTCGGCGTTCTTCGGGCGGTTTGCGTCCCCATCCCAACGCGTGCGACGCGGCTGCAGCGAGAGAGGGATCGAGTGCTTGTCCTGCAGATGCCGGCGCCAGATGCTGCGCGCGTGCTTGCCAGTGTACTGCTTGTCGCAGTGCGGGCATTTGAACACTTCTGGATCGCTACCATCGTAGGCAACCGGCGCGCCGAGCGTGTCGGCCGACGCGTCGCCGTGTCCGCTGTCATACGACTCGTCAAAGTCGTCTTCTGCGAACGAGGACGCGGACATGGCGGATGAGTCTTTCGAATCGAACAGTCCATCCTCGGTTTTGAGCGTCGGGGCAAACGGAAGCGAGCTACGTGTGCGCGCGCCTTTACTGCCAGCCCTGCTCGCGACAATAGAAGGCCCTCCCATGGAGTCTTGCGATGCCTTCTGCGGGCCGGTGGCAGCAGCAGCAGCAGCTGCTGCCATTCTTCGTGAATTGGAGTTTGGCATGCTGTTTGACCGTTCCATAAATGTAGTTCCCTCGACCATAAGAGATGCGAACTCCCACGGAGGCTCGCCGGTGACGCCCGAAAAAGAGTGGCCGCGCTGAGCGAGGGAGGGCGCCGGGACGAGCTTCGATGCGTCTATTTCGTTATACAGCGGAGAGAGCGGGAAGCGACTCGCTGTGTAATGAGGAGATACGGCCACTGCCGCAGTAGCCTCAGAGTTTGGAACAGAGAATGGTGTGGACGAAGTCCAGTCAAATGCACCTTGCTGCTGCTGCTGCAGAGCCTGCTCGTTGAACTCGTGCTGTTGCTCCTGAAAGCGACGTTGATGTTGTGCCTGAAGCGCGGCAAAGTAGTGGAGCTGCTGCTGGTACAAGTCTTGCTGTCGTTGTTGCTGCTGTTGCTGCTGCTGTTCTTGAGAGGACAAAAAGCTGTACGCGCATCGGGCTTCCCCCTTCTCGAGAAACGCAGTCGAAAGAGTAGGAGCTGCGTCGGTACCAGTTCGGTTGATTTGGAACGATGAGGCGACTTGCTGATGCAGTGACGCGTTGATATTAGCCCGCTGCGACGGTTGGAGCACGCCGAAGACTGCAGAGCTTTGATTCTGACGAGCTGACTCGTCTGTGTTGCCGGAGCCGGAGGCGGAACCACACAGCGAGGCATAAGACGACATTGCGAATAAGCGGTCGTCGTGTCAGCAGACCGAGGTTCGTGACAAGATGGAAAGTAAATCGAGATCGAAAAGCCAAAAAGCACATGCGAGAAGACGATCGTGCCTCCACAGCATTCATCCACCGCAGTCCTCCAGGTCCGAGTCTGCAGCTCTCTTATGATGGAGTTGCAACCTCGATTAGACCATGTGGTTGTGAGAGGACAAGCTGGCGAGGTCGACATTGGTGAGGGTTACTGCTTGATGTGTGGCTGCCAGTGGCCTTCGGACAATAACCCCCCTACAACTCCAAGCCCCATACCGTCCTTGCTGACGCGTTTCCGACGATTGACGCCAGGGACCGGTCGGTACTCGCGGAGAGAGCACCATGCACGGGTCGCCACGTGCCCCAAAGCCCAAAGCCTGCCAGGTCTGTCCCAGCAGTCGAGCCTATCGTCCCCTATTCACTATGGGTTCATTGGACCTCAAAGGTCAGGTGACCCTCACCGCGATCGGCTGGTTGGGCCTACAGGCTACCCGTCCCCTGCAGGACCACTCTTGCAACAGCCTGCAGCCATTGCTGTCTTCTAAGACGACGCTTTGCAGAGTGGATGCACACGCGACGGCAGCGGAAGATGCCAGCGGTTTCCTGCGCTACCCAAACACGCGCCGCTGTTCAAATGACAGGCAGGACGAACGGCGCGCCGACGCTGACGGGCAATGTGCCATTTCTGAGCTAATGAGGACCTAATCTGACTCACCCAGGCAAGCTCTCTCTCTGTCTTCTGATTTTCCTTTCGACCGCCCTGTTCCTTGCTCTAGCTGTTCTTTCAGCGGCAGGTCGCCTGTTTGACACGTCGAGCGCGTCGAAACTGGTCGAAATCTTGTGAGGGTCGTTTCACCCTATGTAAGGGCGACGAGTGCAACTTGATAGTAAGCGATCCGGACGCGACGAGTTAGCCTGCCTCTGTGCTTGCACGAGTTGGCCAGTTGCGAGTCGCGGCATAGGGGGGATATGCCCGCTTCGACGAGGAGACGTGAGAAATTCGCGACTGTGCGACACGCGAAGCTGAGCGTACTGCTTGAGTTGAGGCTGACAGGCGTGACGCTGCACGTTGCACCTTCGGCGGCTCAAACAACCATCAAGCTGGATGTCCGACAGGAGAGATCCATGGAAAGTGCCGGGTGCAACGTCTGAACGTCTTTGCGCGACCAGCGTGCTATAGCTTGGAGCTTTTGTGCATCAGCTGATACATAGCGATGGGGGGGGGTGACTGGGATGGAGAAGGCGAAAGCACTACCTATACCGGCTTGTTCCAGTGTCTGTGTGCGAGAGTTGCGTTCCCTAGCCAACGGCCGAGAGAGTGGGTGTCGCACACCGTGCCAGTGCCCTTAGGCCGTAGAGGCTTCCTGCCACCCAAGCCATATTTGTTATGTACACACGTTTTACAAAACCGTTGTAGTCGGCTGCACACCTCAATTCTTTTTTGCTTTTGGTCAGGTGCTTGCGCGTGACACGCGTGGGCAGTCGAGTAGGCCACTGGTATGTAGGCCTGGGGAGGCTGCGTATAATCGCATGAATGCAGCTGATTCTCTGCTGCGAGTCCCGACCCTCCCAGCCGAGGAGCAAGCGTCGACTTGAGTCACAAGAATCATCGCTCAGTACAGTATATTGTATTCGCCCGCAAAAAGAAAGAAGTCGGTAAGCTTTGACGACAAAGTGCACGAATTATTCGTAGTTGGTCCAAGTGATTATTTCTTGTTTCGTGTAAGGCAACGAGATCGCGTCACGTTCGCGGGCGCTTAGCTGGTTCGCTGCCACCATCATCACCGCACCAGCTCTCAACAGTTGCCCTCGCCACACATCATCGGGCTCCACGAGGTTCGAGGCGACATACATCATAGAGTACATATACATACTGCATAGAGTGAATACAAGGCGATGAGTCACCATGAACACAGGTACCTTCGCTTCCATGAACTAGCGCAGCGCTTTCCTTAACCGACAGATGCTCGATACCGACGTTGGGACTAAGCCGGCGTTTGTCGCGTTTAAGTGTTTGCAGGCGCATTCCTAGAATGAGTCGCCTTGCGGTGTCCCCGTTGAGCTTGCGGAAAACCCGGAAGCCCATTGTCGGAGCCCTGCATACATCCATGGTTGAAGGCCTGTGTGTTGGCTCAAGAGAGGTATTCAATGCCTCCATGCTTCTGAATCTGCAACCATCATTACGAAGGGCGATCAGCGACGGACTTGAAGCTGACAAGAGAGATTCTGAATGAGCTGCGCAGGGTTGATCGTTGGTTGTAGATTGCTGATGCAAGCTACCAAAGTCTATTTATCACGAATGCGCAGATGTAAAATACATGTGACCAAAAGCCGAGCGACTCTGAATACTCTCTGCTTGAGAGAGTGGAAAAAGTCATCATGTTTGGGTGACGGCTGCAGCCTGCTAGCTGCGGGACAAAGCCGGATGAAGGCAGGTAAGGTGCTTGCGCTGCCGACGAGTCTCGGAGCGACCAGGGTTGAATAGGAAGGCTGTCATCTCGAAATCATGAGAGTAGAAGAGCGCAGCTCTCGTCTATGTAGACTGCGTAAATGCCACAAGAATCGAAAGGTTGCACGCCCAGCGCACACAAGCAGCGTCCAGTGTGGATTTGCTCCACCTGGAAGATTTATGAGAGTGGCAGGCTCTCTGGTGACATGGTGCGGGGTGAACTGGACATCGCACACATCGCCATCGTGCTTCCTGCGTCTGCCGGCAGCGGAGGTAGCCAGTCTGCTTTGAAGCTCGTGTTGAGGGGGGAGGTGGCGCTGCCACGCCGGCTGCCTGCGGAGGTACCCATATCGGGCTTGATACCCGTCAATGCTGGGCTGGGCGGTAGCTCGCCGAAGCGCCGTGCAGGAGAGTGGCTCGAGGACGATCGGCGCGGCTGAGAGCCTGCAAGCGGGGATCCACGTTCGACGGAGCCTCTTCGCGGGTAGTTCCCACCACTGATGGAGGACCCCGAAGAGCGCCGAGGCCACGCTTCCATCGCGATAGGTGACGTCGGTGAGCGCGGCGGCAAGCCTAGGCTGCGCACAGAGTCAATGGAAGCACGTTCATGGCTCTCGGAAAGGGCTTGTCGCACGGCTTGACGCGTGGAAATGGTCATCTGCTCCAAATCCAGGCCATCGTCGTGGTGATTTGCGTGAGAGAACCCGGCGGGGTGTTGCGGAAGGCGAGCGGCGTAATCCAGCATGTCGTCCAGGCGTCCGTCAAAGTCTTCGCTGCTGTGAATGGAAGAGCCATCTTGCGAAAGGAATCGTTGATGTGGGCCATAGTCAAGTCCAAGTGCGGCTCCTTCAGCATGAGGGGGTGCATCTGGGTCGTCAGCGGACACAGGGTCATGTGTCTCCCTCAGTGGCGAAGGACGAGAAAGTGGAGAAGCCGAGCCCAGGCCGTCTGCATCCCTCGCGCTGAGGACGTGAGAGGCAAGGCTATCCGGACGAGAATGACCAGCCAAGTGTTGTTCGTAGAGGAAGGTGGGTGTGCCGGGAACAATTTCGAATTCGGAAGCTTTAGAGAACCGGCCATGCTCCTCCAAGCTACCGTCTTGGCTCCATTCTTCGCTTTCGCTGCTCCTACGGCTAACGGCCATCGTCGCAATTTCCGGTTGTGCCGTTCCAACGGGACCCGACTGGCCAGAATGACTGGGTGCAGACTGCTGGATGAGCCCCTGGCTTTCCAGCATGTGCAAAGGCTGTCGCTTATATTCTGGCTCGACGACCGGGCTCCCCAAGTGATGGTACGTCGGAGGTGGAGATTGAGAGATGCTTGCAGATGCAAACGCCGGCGATGTCCCGTTCTCTAATATCCTCTCGGCTAAGTGCATGGAGGCGGGATGCAGCGCGGGTGATGTTGCTCCCACTGGACTCTGGTGTGTCATTTGCGGCTGCACTGTCTGCTGAATGGCACTCTCGAACCCGTCATCCGTAGATGATTTTCTCATCCATGCTTCCTGAGCTCTAGCGTAAGACGAAGCGGGAAGTCGTTCCGCGTCGAGGTCCTTTTGACGTGCAAGAGGCGTGGCCTGAACCGAATCTGAAACTCCAAAGGGATCATTCTCTCCCGCCAAGGGTTGGACGAAATCGCTTTCATCATGTCCAGATGAGTCCGATTGACTCGCCTTTGAAGAAAGATGGTGATAGTCTGAGAGAAGGTCGGACATTGACTGCGAGGTGCTCTCCGAGGATGGATATGGTGCGCGCGGCTGCTGCATCTCCACCGCACCTCTGGCAGCTGCTCTCTCTTGAACGAACGGTTCCGCATCAGCATGCCCTTGCGCTTCCGTCGCGTCGTAAGAAGTCATGTGCTGGTTGTGCTCGGGCGAAGAGAACAGTTGTGGGTCTCGCTGCGCAGCCGGTGTGCCTTCTGGCCCTGCGCTGCGCTCCAGAGACTGTTGCACAACTTGCTCGTCAAGCTCGACGCTCTCTGGCGGAGTCTCAGCAACCACGGTACCAGGCTTGTCATTGGTCGGATCCTTGAGTTCAAGCAGCACCGATGCAGGCTCCAAGGAAGCCTGTGCAAGAAAAGGCTCCGCCGTGGGTGCATCCAAAACCGCTACAGTGCTTGACGCTGGAGCTGCTGGAATCTGCTGAGGGCTCTGCAGAGCAGATGATAAAGGCATTGCCTCGTGTGCCTGGTGCACTGGGACGGGACTTGAGGATGTTTCATCATCCGCGAGGAAAAGGTCCCCAGGACGCGGCGTATCATGCGCCGTATCTCCCGACGATGGTGCCTTGCTCGCTGGTAGCGACCTCCTGCTCAAATTCCTGAACTTTGGCACTGCTGCACTGACTCGCTTAGATCCGGTCGAGAAACGAGTCTTAGATTTTACCGAGCCTGGGTTGGATCGGGGGTTGCTGGATCCAGTCGGCGACAGCAGCTCCAACGCGCGCTCCATGTCTCCAAGCGAGTCGCTGAGATCTGCGCTGTTGCCCGTGCTGCTCCTCGGCGTTGGCGACAACAGCGGCTTCAAAGAGCTCTCTGCATCGGTTTTAGTACCAAGATCGAGTCGTTCCGGTGCAAAGTCTGCAAATTTGGGAGCCTGTCCGGGAAAAGCTGCTGTGTCGAGAGAAATTGGACTCTGTAACATTGCCGTGCCAACGCTTCCAGAAGAAGACGCAAGCGGTGTAGGCTTTGCGGGGGTAGGGAGTTCACTTTGAGCTGGCTCCAAAAGTTCGGAACGATGCACTGGAATCGAACCAGCCCCACTCGAGCTGGCCCAGAGCGCAAGCACTTCACCAACATCGTCAGACGATGGAGCCTCTTCCGTGCCCGCCTCCTCATCTTCGCCCGGGAATGTGGGAGGGGAGGCATGGTGCAGTGCTTCTTCCACAAGTGACGTGGCGCCACCAGGAGTGGTTGGGCCCAAATCGTCTGCAACCTTGCGGTTGGATTCAAACAATTTCAAGGCATCGGTGGCAGCGACATGATGACTGAGAGCAGCAGCAGAGAGCGGTAGCTGCTGAGCAGAATCGGCGTAGGCGGCCGCTTCCGGGAAGGCCGACTTGCCCAGGTGGCGTCGTCCTGACAACTCCTGCCACATTCCTTCATCCGTATCTGGGATATCCTCGAATGATTGCCACTGATGTGTCTCCTGCCTGTTCTCTTGTCTCTCCTTGAGCTCGTCCCCATCATCTTCTTCCAGTAGAGGTGCATACCCCGCTGCATCTAACTCTTCAGTCGAGTGCCGGGGCAATGCGCCGTCGAGCGGAACGGATTGTTGAGCCAAGCCTGCCGTAGAAGTGTGGCGCGAAGCCGAGACTTCGTGCGGCGCACTAAAGCTGGCTCGGGGGGATGCGGATAAACTCGCTTGCGAAAAGTCGTCAGCTGCACTGCTAGATCTGCTGATCTGCTCTTCGGAGCCACTGATGCTTTGCTCGAAGCTGCGAGTTGCGCTGGTGGCCGATCGTGGTTGAGAGGACCGAGATGCAGCATAATCGGAAGGCGCTCGTGGTTGTACAGTCGATGGGTCATGGATACCCTTGCGCAGCAGTCGCGAAACCATCGAATGCTTTTGAGTCGAGGGCGACCGTTCATAGACGCCAGACTTGAGGTGCAAGGTCCTTCTGCCCGTTGCACTTCCGCCGCCTCCTCCCGCGGCGCTTCTGATTGCACTACCACCTGCAGACGTGCTGCCCGAGCTGAAGCTGTTCTCTGCCTCTTCCACCCAGGATGGCCACCAGTGTGCACGATGCGTCTCGATGGCCCACTCGATCCTTCCGACGATCGGAAGCCGGCCTAAACCAAATGCCATCCCATGTGTTTGAGCAGGTGAAGCAGTCGAGCTACCCGTGCCGCATCTATTGGGATGAGAGTGACCTCGTGAGTGACCTTCACGAGAGGCGGTATTGTGTGAATAGCCAACTCTGCTTTGGTGAGGCCGAGCATTCGCGTTGGCAGCCGAAGATTGTTCAGATTCTGTCGAAAAACCTTCATCCCTGCCATCGGCCGATTGCACGCCAGCACAAGTCCCGGCAAACAAGGCGGGCGACTGGGACTGCGGCGAGCGCATCGACAATGGACTGCCTACCGCATCGATGCCTTCGGGAGCGAAGAAGTCCAGCCTTGCGTCCTCCTCGAAGTAACGCGACCAAAGTGCCCGCCAAGCAGCTTCACCGATGCACGGTCCCAAGTTGCCTTCACCGTCATCGACCAAGTAGATGGCGAGGCCGCCAATGGACGGTAAGCCATATTCCCGTGCGATGGTATATAGCTGTCCTCCGAGTGTCGGATAGAGCGGCAAGAGGCAGCCCCGTCGAAAGTGACTCGGAACGCCGGCAGAGGAGCCGCTCCGAGGATGAGGCGGATCGCTTGGGAGGCTGTAGACAGTTGTGGCGAGAACAGATCAGCTTGGTTCCATACATGAAATTTACCACCGAAACGCTCACTCTGCAGGCGGGATAACGGTCAAAAAGTAGGTCGAGCTGGCAGGGTATACAGACCTGTGCACGCTGACCGCGGACGCGATGCCGCGTTCTGGTGCTCCTGCCGCACCGCCCTTGTAGTGAGAGCTGGGGGATCTGCTGTGAGACCCGGTAAAGCTGGTATTGGCTGCCGCCCTCGGAGCCTCGAAGGGATTGGCGCGTAGGTTGCGCTTGTACGTAGCTTCTTTGCCATCCGAATTGAAATTCGTCATCTTGGAGCCTGCTGCACCTGGGATGCGAGGCGATGTGCCACCCATCAACGGGCTTGCCGCGCTGCTACTCGGCCCTCGTCCAACCAAAGCGATGTGCGTCGCTTTGGGACTGCGACTTGGCAATCCGTCGAATTGCTGTAGCTGCACCTGAGGACTTGGAGTCTGCTTGATCACATCCGACGCAGGACTTTCTGCTTTCAAAGCGCCATCGCCATGGTCATCTCGTGAAAAAGCCGGCTGAGTGGTATTTGAGGAATCTAAGGACATAGTACGATCAAATGCTGTGCCAGAAAAGGGCGAGACGTGCGAGTCCTCCGACGCTGAGCTGTATGGGCGCTGCTGAAACGTGGTTGCGTAAGCAATTCGAGCACCTGTCGCCGCTCTGGCCGCGTTCGGCCCTGCCGGTTCCGTCGGATGTTGCAGCAGAGGTTCTGCGTCAGATATAGCACTACAGCAAATTTGAAGGTGGTGAGGAATGGATGAGAAGCACGAAGTGAGGGGGTGCGCGAGAAAATCGAAACGCACCTCATGTTAACGTGCGCTTCCGCATCAACCGCACTAGACATTGATTGGGCGCGTCAATCATGGGGTCATGCTAGGTTGCTTGCAATTGTGAGCACCCTCAAGAGATTGTCACAGATGATGCCGTGCTGGGCGGGGACAATACCGTTTGAGAGGCGATGTTCCGACGCGAGCGTCCTGAGTCGGTGATGCTTTGACGTGAACGCGCGCGCTGATTGACTTGACTCTTTATCAGAGCTTCAGACACGGTGTGCACGCGAATTACACGATGTCCGGCAGAGAAAAGCGAGCCAGCAAGTTGATGCTCGTTGCCAGAGCCTGACCCGTTCAAATCAGGAGGAAAGTCTGCTGCGGATACCTTCGGGCAGGGTTCTCTCCTCCATCATTTGCAATGAGATGAAAAGAGGTGCGACTGGCGTTTGGTTGGAACATAATTTTGAAACACGCGCGCCTCAACATCACCGCATCATCTCTCCTGCAAGTCTGCAGTCGGCATCCCAAAGTCCGTGCTCTTCGCGCTTTTCTCAAGGGACTTCTTTCTTTTTCCATTTCGGTTCATTCTGAATGAAATTATGGACAACCCACCGTAACTCTCCTCCCTCCTCTCAGTCTCTCACACTCCATTTCTGCTTTCTTTCTTTCCAAGCCAGACCCCCCAAATCGGGTCAAACTCTGGTAGAGTTGCGAAAGGCTTGTTAAAACAGAGCAAGCACCACTCAAGTTCGTTCGTCCCGCAACTCTGCTACTGGTCCAGTACGTACTCCTCGTTGGCTGCTGTATAAGAGTTTTAGCTGCACACATGACGACCCCAAATTGGCAAACGTGCGTATCATGTCACGTTGGCTGGACCGTTCCGGAGCTTTTCCAATGGGAACTCAGAATCGCGTTTCGATATGCTGTCGCGCTCAATCGAAGTAGGGTTTGTACATGTGTCACAGCACCCTTTTCAGTTGCATAGAGCCAACAATGCCTCCCGGCACATCCGGCCGAGCCTTCCCTACAGGAGCTACGACTCATCCACCAACATCAAGCATCCCAAGCCCCTTTGAAGGTTGAGCTCACCAGCAGGCCCCACATCTGACCGCGTTTCGGACACCTATCTTGAAGCAAGAGGATTGCAGAGCCAACGTAACAAAACCCTCTGCAACTGAAACGCAGAGCCGCCACCCCGAAGTAGCAAGCCCAGCATGTCGCACAAGTTCATCTTCCACTACGATACCGTCTCCCCATGGGCGTACGTTGCCTTCGAGGTGCTGAAGCGGTACCGTAAGCAGTGGAATCTCGACCTGGTGGGTGCCATGTATACAGTAATCGATAGTTTATTTTCTTCAACCTGGCACTTACGTGCTCTTTGCTTCCAGGTCCTGGAGCCTGTGAACCTCGGCTACGTGCGACCGCGCCATCTTCGATTTGCACAGATGACATCGCCTGATGACCCTTTATAATATATCCTGTTCCTTTCCTATAGATCATGCACTTCTCCGGCAACCGTCCACCCATCGCTGTTGCCAATAAGGGCATATGGATGAACGAAGATATGGACCGCGCTTCAAAGTTTTATGGCGGTAATTGACTGCACCTGTCGGTGCTCCGTCTCCTTTCTCTCCACTGATTGACACATTTCTCGGTCTCTCCTTTGCTCTCGTCGGTTTTTTTCTTCAAAGTCACACTAAACCGCAGTCCTCGCTTCCCCGTCAACACACAGGGGCCACAATGTCTGCTGCGCCTCATGAAGGACGATGACCCGTCGCGCCTGGAAGCAGCGACGGATATTTTCTTCAAAGCGTCCTGGGTCCACGACCAGGAGGTTGGTACGACTGAGCAGCTGCGCTCGCTCGTCTCCTCTCTGTACTCGGGCGGCAGTGGTAGTGATGCGTCCAAGCTCGACGCGCTCCTGCTCAAGTCACAGTCGAAAGAGTACAAAGCAAAGGTGAAGGAGGAGGCGCGCCAACTCGTTGAGCAGGGAGGCTGCTTTGGCATGCCGTGGATGGTCATCACACGCGTGCAGGACGGAAGGACGACGCGCTGGTTTGGAAGCGACCGCTTCGAGCAGATCGCCGCGTTCTTGGAAGTGCCTTATAAAGGCGCCCGGGGCGACGGAAGCATTGCCAAACTTTGAGGACCCTTTTCCCTCTACAATGTATGTATGTTTGGCTTTGCAGGAGGATGTTCTATTTCGCTATGTCAAACCAGATGCTGGACTGATCCCGTGTGAAGATATCCCAATGAACAGTATACAATGATTACGCATGATGTACGGCCAATACGAATTTAGATGTGTTCTCTACCTCTTCCAACCAAGCGGGACCGACTCGCGAGTCCTTCGAGACGGGCCGTTCCAGATCGAGCCATCGGACTCAGCATGAATGGCTACTGTGAGAAGATTGTTACCTTGCGCGCGCATAAGCACACGCGCACACGCGCTCTATGCGGTGCGGCCTTGTGGCCCCTTGTGCCAAGTTGTTAACCCTGCCCAGCGCAAACCATCCGAATACCCCTTCAATGCATGTATCGCTGGAGCGCCAGCATCAGCGCGATAACCAACGACGGTACCCATCCATAGGGCTGATCAAATCAGCAAGGCGCCAGCAGCAACTGCTAGGAGCGCAGCCGCGCCGGTGCCTGCGCTGGCACGGCTGCTCGCCCCGCCGCGCAGTACCGTGCTCGGTGCGCTGCTTGCGGCCGGGGAGGAAGTCGTCGAGGGTGACGAGGCGACTCCAACGATTGAAGGGACAGCAACGGCGGCAGTGGAGGAAGAGGACGAGGAAGAGGACGAGGACGAGGCAGCTGACGAAGATGCGCCCGTGGAGGCGCTGTTGGTGACTGGCGCGCTAAGGAGCTTGCCGTTTCCCCATGGGATCGCAGGGCTTCCACCTCCGGGCTGGTTGGCGTGCGGAGGAGAAACAACGGTGCCATTGGGAGAGGAGATCGCCCAGCGCGTGGTCCAAGCCGGATCCGAGGTGCCATCCGTGGTGACTTGGTAGAAGTAAATCGCCGAGTACGGGCTCACTTCCGGGCATGTCCAGCTGTAGCTCGTCTTCGTGGGATCCGTGCCATCCAGACCGGTGGCAATAGTCTCGAGCTTAGTCATCGCCTGGTTCGAGCCCGTGTTCAAGTCGAGCGTGAAGCTCTTCCATTTCGTCGAGCCAGACGTGTCAGGCGTCCATGTCACCTGTTCGTGCATGGAAGGGGTACATAAGCACACATTTGGATAGCAAGAAACAGATAATGGACCATAAGAACGTACTGTGCAAGTCCCGCCAGCCCGGAAGGTCTCGCCAGGGCCAGGGCCGGTGAGGACGAGGCCAGATGAAGTGGACGAGGTGGACTGACGCTTGTGCAGCATCTTGAACGACCCCGAAGCGATGTGGGGGCTCGCTGAGGCCAAGGCCATGGCGGCGGCGCTCAGACCGCAAAGGGCAAAGGAGAGAGGGAGGTGTGCGATCATAGTGGCGTTTGTATTGCGGCTGTAGCTGTGGAGGCTTATGCGCGTGGACACGAACTTGGCAGAAGAAGCGGAGGAGACGGGATGGTCGTGAACGGTGCAGGTTTGGAGAAGGAGAAGGAAAGGGAGAAAGGCGAACGGCGAACGGCGGGGCTTCGAGGTCCAGACAACTCGCGATGCTGTTGGTGGAATGGTTGGATGTATAAGAGCTTGGGAGAGTAAAAATAGGAGCACAACAAGGTCGTCGCAATCAACCAGCGAGTGTGGGCCGCATTTGCAGGTCTCTCTGTCACTTGAGAGGGTCTGCTGGTGTGACCGGCGCGCAAATCCGCCGTCCGGGGGGGGCTCGGGGGCAGCCAGGCGTAAGAACAGTCTTGTCGCAGCAGTCACTGACTGCTGCGGGGAACTTAAATCTGCCTCCTAACGCGGACCTCCGGCGCGGGATCACTATCCGAGCAAGCGGGCGGGACTGTGCCACTACCGCACCACGGGACCATGCAATGCGCACGCGTGTTCTGCTCTTCCGCTTCTTTCAAGACAGCCGTAAAAAAGATCCCAGATCTCGCGCAATCTGCGGGACTCGCACGCTCTGTGGGGCCTGCGCCGTCGCCGGGGGGGCGGGGGGCAGAGGGGAGAGAAGCTGTCCTCGGGTGGAGTTGGACATCTGCGATGGATCCGTATCTCACTGTCTGTCCAACACCCGTCGACTCCAATTGGCCCGTAGGATATGGGCGGTCTCAGTCTTCGACTATGTCCAGGAAGTTGAGCATCCGCCTGGCCGGTAAGTTTTACTCTCGGACAAACTTGAGGCTCTCATGGTCGCTCCGCACGACGTGAACCAGTTCCCTCAGCTCCTGCAAATAGCAACTGTTTGCGAGAATATCCTTCTCTTGCGTGGGGTAGTTCATCTCTTCAGGAGAGGAAGGCTATCGCGTGTAGTGCACTCACTCGTCGCACAATGCTGAGCTACCGTCCAGCTGCCCAATTATTCCAGTCCAGAAGGATGGCGGGGAGCGATCCAGGGAGAGCCGAGGGAGAATTGAAGCTTAAACGGAGAGGGGGAGAGGGAACTGCAGCATCTCTTTGTCATTGAATAGAAAGGGGAGAAGGACGCTGGATACAACAGAGCGACAGCCATTTTTTCTCCTTGGACAAAGCCCGACACTCATCAGGCGTCGAGGCACAAGAGCATCGAAGTGCTTGAAAGTGCACCTAGAATGACGCCCTTGGCTTCATGCTTCGTGCGGGCCAGGTGCTGACCGGCGAATGCTTCAGACGGTTCCGACCGACCGAGAGCCGCACATGGAATCGTTTCCGGTACCCGGGACTCTGGCGAAGGCGTGACCTTGGTAGTAGATCTTTGGTGAAGGACGCGGTTCAGGGTACTTCAAAAGACTCAAAGGTCCATCATCGACTTGACATCGACTTAACTGATCGCCGCGATTGCTTCGACTCTTTGATGGTGCGCTCGATCACGTCCCTCACGCGCAGGTCACATCCAGAGTGGCTCACGTGGGTTGTGCCATATGAGTAGGAACCACTACATTTCCTTGGCATGCAATGCTCTCATCTTTGATCGCCACACATCTGTAATCTACACATACATTCAGGTCACACCGACTGTGGCCGATGCAGTGTACATGTCAGCATATAAAGGCTTCTGGCTCATGGCGCTCATCAGCAAGACAGCCTGCACCCGGCAGTCGGCCGCAATCCGCCATTTCAATGCATTCGTATGTGCGGTAGACGTGCTCTGGCGTTTGGTCTGCAAGCGCGACTAAAAGCCGCACGCCAGGAATCCTTTGCGAGGTTCGGTGCAACTGGATGATCGCCCCTCCACTTGCTGAGAATGGAGATTGGAGACTGGAGATGAGGCAAAGCGCCCCTTAGAATACCCTCTCGCTTGCATGCAAGAGGGGCGATGACGCCAGAGGGTATCTCATCGTAATCAGAGTCGAGCTGACAGGCACAATTATCGCGCGAGGCGTTGCAACTACGGCCTTCTGCCATGGCTTCGTTGCGCTACGGCAGCGGCGGCAGAAGTAGCAGCAATGGCGAACCTTCATTCAGTCATAAGGGAGCCACCCCCGATGATGTTCACGGATATGGCTACGAGCAGCGCGAAGCTGATAGTGCTTCATCCCACTTCATGTCCTTGCTTCCACCTACACATGGCGGAGGTACTCGGTCTGGCGCTCACACGCCCGACCAAGGAGGAAGGGAGCGATATGCATTCAGTACATCGCTTCGGAGGGGTGAGTTTTTCTTGTGATGGAGTGCTTTTTCAGTGCCAGAGTTTGACCTGATGGACCTGTACTCCTTCTTGAAGAACCGCCGGTCAGCCCGAATCCACTAGAGGCCTTCTATCCGCCTGCTACAAGGCGAGGGACCAGTGGCCCGCTAGATTTACCCTCGTCATCACCGGATAATCACGAAGCAAGTAACCTATCAGCATCTGCAATATACACCCACCTTTCATTACACGACACGCTCATTAGGCTAGACTTGCCTACTGACACCACCGCTGGCAACGCGAAAGTCAACACCGACACCTCATCCATCTCAAAAAGCACCACAGGCTCGGACTCCGCGACATATCTGCATCTTCTACACGGACTTCATAGCCCAATCGTACCTCTCCGACGATCACGCGCCGGCGGCCCGAACGAGTTTCTCGTTCGCCCTGCGGATCCACCATGGCGCAAGTTCCTTGCACAGCTCTCTGAGCCGCTCATTCTCCTCTTGCTCGGGAGCGCAGCAGTCAGCTTGGTGATCGGCGAGACGGACGATGCAATGTCCATCGCGCTCGCCGTCATCGTCGTCGTCACCGTGGGCTGGGTGCAGGAGCAACGCAGCGAAAAGAGCCTCGAAGCGCTCGGCAAGCTCGTCCCACATTATTGCCACCTTGTGCGCGATGGAACACATGCCGCCGCCGCTACGACCGATGAGCCAGGCGCCACCACCAGCGCAGCGGCGGTACGACCGGCGCCGCGTAAAGTTCTGGCCAATACGCTCGTTCCAGGCGACGTCGTCACCTTCTCGGCTGGAGATCGTGTGCCGGCAGACGTACGGCTCTTCAGCGCCGTGCAGCTCGAAGTAGACGAGAGTACGCTGACCGGGGAGGTGAAGCCGCGACGGAAGAACACAGAGGTAGTTGGCACACCGCTAGAACTGCCACGAATCCAGGAGTGGGAGCGTTCGGCCATGGGCGGAGCGGGGCAAGGAGTTGACGCGAATGTCAAGACGGGGATCAACGACAGAGACAACATTGTCTTCATGGGTACGCTGGTAAAGAGTGGTGAATCTGAAGCACATGTTCCTCTCTGCATTCGGCCGAGTTGACCCCTTCTTGCTCCCTTTCCATCTGCTTACATCGTGCGATTGTCTTCGACGAACTGTGCTACCACACAGGCTATGGCCGCGGTGTTGTAATAGCGACCGGCTCCTCGACGGAGCTTGGCCTGGTATTCAGCATGGTGGACGAAGTCGTCGAACGTCGCACACCGTTGCAATTGAGCATGGATGAGCTGGCCCAGAAGCTGAGCATGGTCAGCTTCGCTGTCATTGGCGTCATCTGTCTCATGGGTGTGGTTCAACGGAGAAGCTGGCTCGAAATGTTTACAATTGGCGGTGAGTTGGAGCCGTTCCAGCGTGCAGTGCTCGGTGCTCACGCCTACTTGCATCACTGGAAGTTTCGCTCGCGGTAGCCGCGATACCTGAAGGCCTACCTATCGTAGTGACAGTGACGCTCGCACTAGGTGTGTTGCGCATGTCCCACCGAAAAGCCATCGTCAAGCGACTTCCATCCGTCGAGACGCTCGGTTCGGTTTCCGTCATCTGCTCAGACAAGACGGGAACGCTCACTTCCAACGAGATGACCGTCGTTAGGGTCTACACGCTAGAAGATGGAGTGATCGACATTTCCAAGGACGTGGCGGCTCCTGCGGTCTCGCGCAGCTTGGCACGTAGCTTGCTCGTTGGTGGGGTATGCAACAACAGTCACCGCGACGAGCATGGCAAGAATGTCGGGCAGGCGACGGACGTGGCAATGGTCAATGTCTTGCGCAGGCTGTGCCAGGATGATCCTCGACCCTATTTCCAACGCACCGCAGAAGTACCGTTCGATTCGGAGACGAAATGCATGAGCGTCACAGGCAGGCTTTCCGCGCCCCCTATCGCTGGGAGCATGCAAGATGCTCGCGAGACGACCTACGTCAAAGGGGCGTACGAAGTAGTGCTGGAGCGCTGTGCGTCAGTGCTTGGCGCAGATGGCAAAAGCGTCGACCTGACAGAGGATCTAAGGCGCCAGATTCATCGCGTTGCGCAAGACCTCTCGTCTCACGGCCTGAGAATTCTTGCAACTGCCACGTGCGCCGGTCCCTCCCCGCTCGCTTCTGCAACGCCGCGAACTGCTCATGGCGACCGAGCCAGACATACGCTCACGTTCTGCGGGCTCCAGGCCATGCAAGACCCTCCGCGTAAAGGCGTCAGGGAGAGCATCGTAGCGCTCAGCGAGAGCGGAGTGCATGTTGTGATGATCACAGGCGATGCGGAGAGCACTGCGGTAGCGATTGCTGAGCAACTCGGCCTTTTGCGCGCCGGCCCGCAACGGGCGTCGGCCTCTGCGCGCCCGGAAGTCATGACAGGCAAGCAAATCGATGCGTTGACGGAGCGGCAGCTGCAGGAGTGCGTGTCGAGCGTCTCCGTCTTTGCGCGGACCACGCCGCGGCACAAGATGAGCATCGTCGCTGCGCTGCAGGCGAATGGCCAGATTGTGGGTATGACGGGCGATGGCGTGAACGACGCGCCCGCGCTCAAGATGGCAGACATAGGTATCTCCATGGGCCTAGGCGGAACAGACGTGGCGAAAGAAGCGGCGGACGTCATCCTCGTTGACGACAACTTTGCGACCATCTTGTCCGCTGTCGAGGAGGGCAAAGGTATCTTCTTCAACATTCAGAACTTCCTCGCATTCCAATTGAGCACAGCCGTAGCTGCGCTGACGCTCATCACACTCAGTACAGCTTGTCAGCTCAAGCTCCCGCTCAACCCTATGCAGATCCTGTTCATCAACATCCTCATGGACGGCCCGCCGAGTCAGAGCCTCGGTGTTGATCCTGTGGATCGAAGCATTATGCGCAAGCCTCCGCGGGCCAAAGACGCTCCGGTTCTCAACAGGCAGCTCATGCACCGTATAATATTCTCGGCTAGCATCATCGTCCTCGGCACGCTTTACATCTACGTCCACGAGCTCTCGAAAGGTCTGGTGGATCAAAGAGATCAAACCATGGTGTGTTTGTCCGTTCGAAGCAGTGAACGAACGAAAGGCGGCTGATATCCAACTGCAATCCTCGCTTAGACCTTCACCTGCTTCGTGCTGCTAGACCTGACCTCAGCCGTACAAAACCGCGGCTTGACGACGCCACTGATGGGCAATCGGATGCTGACCCTGACAGTCGGCATCTCCTTCTGCACGCAACTAGCGATGATCTATGTTGCGCCGCTGCAAGGGATTTTCCAGACGCAAGCGCTCGCCTTGTCCGACCTGCTGCTCCTTTTCTTCCTATGTGCTTGTAGCTTTGCTGCGCACGAGGCGCGCCGCCTCTACGAGCGGAAACTCCATGTTGATACGAGGGACCAGTGGGAGGAAAGGATGGTATAAATGTATGGGGCTTGAAATGCCGATTTTATTCGTGTGCACTTGGCAGTTGCAGAAGTACAGGATATACGAGCGATGCATCAAGCGCTCACTGGGAAAGTTTGGAAATTGCGTGGAAGACCTTCTGGGCGATCGCCTTACCTCCATTTCCGCCGCTTCCATGTCGACCGTAACCGGTGCCAGGTTTCAGATGGTACGGTATTTCCGAGTTGAGAATCCCATCTTCCTCCTCCACGCCGACGCGCAGTCTGCGCCTGAGCACGGGTTTGCCCGCCAACCTAGGCAAGCCATCGTCGTTGAACATGATGTGGTGCACGCACATTCGCCGCCCGCCTTTGCAGCCAGGGTCGTTGTGTATATGAAAGCAGATGAACCAGTTGCCATCCACGCCACGCACGGCGTATTGCCCGCCTGAGACGACAATGCCGCGCGGGATATCCGTCTCGATCAAGGGCACGCGGCTGCTCTTCCACGGCCCGAAGATGTTCTTGTTTATCGCCCAGCCGATCTTGTAATCGTCCTCAATAAAGGTACCGCTCGAGAAGAAGAGGATGTAAAAGCGCGCGTTAGGCTCATAGATCGGATGCGGTGCTTCGATCTGCCCCGTTTGCCACGTGTGCTCTGATGACAGCAACGGCTAACGATCATCGGCGAAGTGCAGCCCGCCCTCCGCCAAGTCCTGAATCCACCATTAGGGACGCAGTCCGCGCATATGTGACTAGTCGTTCTTGTAAACCAAAAAGCGGCGGACTGTTAGTGGATCATTGAAGCAACATGGATCGACGCAGCCGCCCGAATATCCCTAGTAAAATAGACATGCGCGCCACGTCAAATATGCGGTGAGGCGCTGCGATCTCAGGAACGTGTTCCCCTCACCCTAGACCCAATTTGATTGTTGCTGAGGAAGTAGAACGGTCCCATTGGGCTCTGTGGCGAGTATGTACCTCTGATGCACATTTTACATGTGCCGCTATTGTGGCAAGCAAGGTACATCAGATACCCATCGCCTCCGCCGGGTGCCTTGGCAACGTCAGGTGTCCAAATGAAGCCGGGATTTCCTGTTCATGCAGGAGCAAAGTATCGTGATGGTGAACATACCAGGTGCAGAAGTCGGTAGATGACACGACGCATATGTTTTCCCTCCCGAATTGGTACCTTGCGCATACGACTTCTTGGAACTACCGTCGAAGAAAACACCCGTTAACGCATGGCCCGCGGTCAGCCTAGCCGCGTGCTCCCTGGTGAACCACGGTCTGCATTTAGACGATCTGGAAAGTCAACGTCGACGAGTGGATTTAGATGCCTTTTTATGCCAATGGATGTGTCAGCGCATTTGCATCCAAATCACAGGGCGGTCCCAAGTGTAACGCACCCAAGAGATGGATGGGATGGCACGGCGGCGACTTGAAAGACCGACAAAGTCCCTCGCGGTTGGGTAACAAGAGACACTCAATTTGCGATCGCTGATTTGATTGTTTTCAGAATGTGAAGTGGGAAGAATGGATGATCAACACCGTTGTAGATTTTGAAATCTCGGGCAAGGCGTTTGTTGGCTCCTGTAATGTGCCCATGCAAATTGCTGTTGGCAACGTTTGGTTATGATGTAACAGCCCATTGAGATCAACTCGCCATTCGTCCTCATCACCGCCGTCGCAATTGCCGCGATGTTTCTGCCCGTTTTTCGGGGCCGGGTCGCAAAGGCGAAAGAGTCGCTCTCTCGGCCGAGAGAGCAGTCACGCCGGGTGCTTGGCAATGAGACTGCTTTGGGAACGACGTGGCGCGGACGGGCACTGTGCACCTCTCGGCACGACCACCCCACACGGCACACCCAGCACCTCGTTGCGAGCGTGGGCTGTGAGAGCAGAGGAATGGGGGAGGCACTGTAGGGCAGAGGGAAAATGGCTAGAGGCACACACATCTCAGCACCATACTCC